AGGCAGCTTTAACGAGATGAAAAGGCTTAACTGGAGTCCAATTAAATTCCGTATTACCTGTTTACGCAGCCTGTTTAAGTCCTGACCCACACGCTGATTTCTTCTCTAGGCTCCAAAGCCTGTGCTCTAGGCAAAAAAATAAAATCAAAGGAGACAGATAGATACCAGATCACCGGCATGTGCTGAGCATCCCCGTGTGCTCCTACCAGAGGCAGCTGCCCTCAAGTCTTGTGCAGCTCCCGCAGTGGCTGCGTGGTGTGAGATGCAGCCAAAATCCTCCAGTCCACTCTTTTGGAGAGGAGAGCTAGGGAAAACAGCTGGAGGCCAAAAAACTCCAGCCATCCTTAGCTCGTTTTTAGGTTTATACCATGAAGATATTTTTGCTTTCCCCATCTTGCTGCCGGGATAATGGAGACTGGGGCTGGCTGAGTAGCCAGTGCTGGTGGTGCTTCTCACAAAAGGAGGATCCACGCCACTGCCTGCCAGCTCTTTGTACCGCTGTTGGGAGGTTATTTTTATTAAAAATAAATGTTTGGTGAAAGCCAACCTTGGGATGCTGGGTTGAGCTGCACAGCTGCTCATGTGAACTGGAGTTGCTCGCCTGGAGTGTGTGTGGGGACACCGACTTGTGTTTAATGGCAGAGGAACTACTGCCAGCGATAAACTGGTTTTTACAGATGGTTAATAGAAACTATTGCTTGTGCTGGTGAAGCGTGGCAGGTTTGGGTGGGTGGCGAGCTGAGGCTCAGCTGGTGCCCTTCCACCTCACAGGTCATTGTCTCACTGTGACACTGGGAGCCTTCCAGGAGGGGTGCAGTGCTTGAGCCCACCTTCACAGTGCTCTTCAAGGTCCAGCAATGGGGATGATGAGGAAGAATCCCTTGCAGCATCCCAAGGGCAGCTGCTGTGTGGACAGCATATCTGGAAAGGTCCTCAGCTTCCCAAGCCCTCTCTTGTTGAATGCTGCCTTTTATTACGTGGGTACCCTGGGGCTGGGAGCAGCAACGTTCTGGCACTGACAGCGATTTCAACCCACCTGCTCTGGTTTCTAAATTCAGCCCCCACAACCCTCTCGGGGCCTCGGCAGTGCCTCCCAGCTCCTCTTGGGCCGAGCGTGCTGCAGGGCGGGGGGCAGGAAACGGCTCGCCGCACCCTGCTCGCAGCAAACCCTCACGCCTAGCAAAGACCTAAACCCTGCATTAAAGAAAGTAAATAAATAAAAGCACCAGCCCACAGCTCCTCCCAGGGCTGTGGGACAGCGGAGGTGAGTTATGTTCCCAGCTCAGCCGGCCTGGGAAAACAAATTTGGGTGACACCAAAATGCTGGCAGGGATGCACCAAGGGCCAGGGAGCTGCTCTGTGTAGCTGGTGCCTCTTCCCTGCTGCTCTTCAACACAGTTAATACAGCAGGATAACCTGGTTTCTCCTTTAGGATTAGGTTAAGAAAACAAGATGGTTTTAATAGCCCTTTGGCATCCTGCATATATTGTAGCTGAAGAACCTGCCCAGCTTTGCAGCACAGCCAAACAGCACATCTCCTTTTTTCCCCTTTTTTTTCCCCCATAACCTGATGCCAGCGGTCTTGCGTGAGCAGGCTCCTATCGATAATTCAAGTGCCCAGCTCCTGGCTGTGCTGTTTTGTCCGATTTCCATTGCCTCCTGACCTCCATCCTTCTTTATTTGCAAAGCTATACTCGCAGGCAGCAGTAATAAATCAATTAATGACTCTGATGAATCGTTTAATGGCTGACAAAATAACACTACAGTCAACAGCTTGGATCTCTACAGCAGTACCAGAAGACGCTGGTTGACTCAGGGTAGGGAGACGAAACAGAGACTGTTAGCTCAATTAGTGCAATTAGTGTGCGATTTAAAGGCTTACACGGCATCTGCTGGCGTACCGAGCCGGTGTGTTAACTGAGAGCTTTGGTTTGGAAGCGAAACGCGGTGATACAGATTGTCATCGTTCCGCTGGCTTCCACCAAAAAACGAGGAAAAATACCAACGTATGTGGCAGAAGAAAAGAAAACCCCATATGTATGTTTGTGTATATAGCTATACATGCATGCCCTGGGAATGCATATATATTTATGTCTAACATGGAAAAGATTTCCCATCTAATAAAAGGCAAACGAACTGGCATGCCAACAGTGCCAGAGCTGTCCTGGCTCATTTCTGGCTGTGGTTTTCATGTATTTTGGTAGAAGGAAATTTGGGGCATCTCATGCAAATGGGGACATGTGACTGGATGTGCTTTAGGTTCAGCACCAGCTTGGATGCTGTGGCACAGCAGTTCCATGCCTGTCTTCTGCTGGCTTTCATGGCATTTCCACCTTGTCTGTACCTGCTCTACAGGGATCTAGTGGGTTTTAGATATTCACCTGAGGAAACAGGCTTGGAAGGCAAACTGCAACCAAGAGTCCCTAGTAAGAGGTTCTGAGCCAAAATGGTGAAAATAAACCATGCAGAAGGAGTTGTGTGGCTAAAAAAGTCCTGGAAATGGGTGCTGGAAAGCCCTGGGGTTCCGGTGCTTACCCTTAGGGTTTGGGAAGTTTGTTCCTACTGTCTTTTTTCCCTTTTTTCTTTCTGGCACACCCCAAAGGTTTTATAGCACTGCTCCAGCCACGGCTCTGCTCCCATCGCTTCACAGGGCTAAAGGTGCCTCCGTGTTTACCTTAGCAGCGGTGATGGGGAGGGGAATAAAAAAAAAAGAAATAAAATGTCACTTCGCAGCCTTGTAAATCATTCATCAAGGGCTGACCAATTTGGCTCCCATCCTACAATATGCTCAGGGCACTTGCGGGTTTTTAATTACCGAGTTCTGCCAAGCGCCACATGTGCGAGGAACTTTAAATCCCCGTTTACGCTGCAAAGGCATAGGTGAGGTTTCAGGGTGTTTAACGCGGAAAAATACTCTGCGGTTTTGTGGAAAAATGGGCATTTGCTTCAAGATTTTCTTTGGCTGCTCTGCCCTCCTCCCTCTGCTCCCTGTTGCAGAGGGGAGGAGGAGGGCAGCGTCCTTTCCCCCTGGATCCCCAAATCCATGTCCCTCCTCGCTCCCCACCACTTTGGGATCCATTTTGCTTTGGGAGATTCCCCCAGCAAAGGATTATGGTGTGCTGGAAATCTCTTGAAACCATAAAATATCACCTTGGCAGCTTTATTGCAGCGCTCGCCGCCTTGGGAGAGAAGTGTTTTGCGTGATAGAGGGTTTAATAAAGGAAATTCCAAATGGGCTCGCTGCAGTTTGGGGCTCGGTCTTATATATTTTTGCATTAAGAACCGTCATCTGCTTTGCAGAGAAACTGCAATATGTTCATGGCCTTGGATTAAGATTTGGTTTTACTTTTATAGCTGACCCACTTGGGGGGATGGAGGGAGGGGGAGAAGTGGGTTCACTCCCTCTCCCATCTATTTTTGCTGCCGTCTGATGTATAAAAAGAGCCTGGAACGGGCAGGCTTATTTTTCCTGCCAGGACTTTTTTTTATTAACTGTAAAAACACTCAGATCTGGCCTTTGCTGCTGATGGGAGGAAGGCTGCTCGAGATGCCTTGTTCAGGGGCACGGCGAGAGTGTGGTGTGGGCTGTTCCTTGGGGTGCAGGGCCCCGTAGCCACAGGGGGACTCGGTTATTTCACGAAGGGGAGCTCTTATTGGGGAATCACCTTCCACTTACAGCTCTCAGATGCTGGGGTGGGAAAAGCAACAGCTTATCCAGTGTGGTCCTGGCCTTCATCCCTCATCCTACTGGAGAGCGTGATGGAGGGGGCACAAGGGATGCCCCAGGAAGGCTCAAGGCAGTGGTTAGTCTGATGCTCTCCTGCCTCTGCAAGGCTTTCTGGTCTGGAATGCTGAGATTCCCAACCAACCTGCCTTGGCAATCCTTAGTACTTAGTAATAATCCTTTATTTTCTGGGCTGCCCAAGTCCTGACAGCCTGGCTTCTCCCCTCTGCTCTCATCTTGTGGTTGTCACTGCATCGGATGTGGTCAGAAGCTGGGACTGGCTCAGCTGCTGTCAGGACCCAGGGTTTGTTGGGTAAAGCCAAACCTGAGCAGGCTGTGCCCCAGCTGTTCATGGGATTTCCTCAGTGGAAAATTTTTCCACCATGGTTTTAGGTGGGTACGTCCATCGTAAAAATTCATGGAGGGAGGAGTTCAGTGATGCAAACCCAGTTAATGTCACTGAGGCACCTTTGTAGCTGACCTGGGAACAGGGGAGTCACTTGGTGATGGGCAGACTGGAGTGCGCAGGCACTGCTCCTAACCCTGCAGGGATGTGTCACCAGCAGTGGCTTTTAGGGAAGGATCTTTTTTCTTATATTTTCCTTCTGGGTAGGAGCCTCCCATCACGTTGGTGCTTTCCCAGAGCCACAGGGAGATAAATATAAAGAGGGATGCTGAGTAGGAGCAAACAGGGTGTCTGGGTAACCCATGTCTGCCCTTGTCCCTCCTTTTTGGGGCTGGAGCCACTCTGGTGGCTCATCCTGGGGAGGCACGAGGGGGAATGTGACCTCACAGGTTGAGTGTGATGAATTCGGAAATGCATAATAAAACCTTGGCATGTTGGTGAGGTCAGGGAAACATCATTTTTGGAGGACAGGACTGAATCAGCAAGCGGGGGAGGGGTGGTGTGGTGTAAAAGAAACATTTAAAAAGCCTTAGAATAGCTTCTGGCCAAAGTGACATGTTGGATGAGGTTTCTTGGTGAATTAACAAGATTCAGTGCTTGGGTAAATGAATAAACAAACCCCAGAATTGTCCCCAGGTTTTGTGTGGCCGTCTCCTCCATGGGTGAATCTCAAAAACCGGTGCCCCTCCAGCTGTGAGCATCCTCAGCTGGTTCCTCCACAGGGGAAGGATGCTCAGGGAGCGTGGAGCGATGCTCAGGGCTCCAGAGGGACCAGACGGATTGACCCACGATGTGGCAGGAGAGGGTTTTTTTTTAAAAGTGTTTTTGCCACAACTCTGACCATGTTTGTCCTGGTTTTGTTCCCCACAGAGCGCAGCTGCCGCCCCAAGTCCTGTGCTTGGAAACATTCCCCCGAACGATGGGATGCCCGGGGGCCCCATCCCGCCCGGTTTCTTCCAGGTAGGCTGCCGCTTCTCCCGGTGCTCGGCTCCACACTGCGCACGTGTTTGCTTACGCTCTGGGTGTCAGCGCTGTCATGCCTGTGTTTTTTTTCCAAGGGGATGCTGGGGAAGCAGCATGCCTGCATAGCTGACCTGTCTAGGAATAACTTGTGTTCCTGCTGTCCTTCCAGTTTGCTTTCTATCTTTTGTGGCCTTAATGCAAATTTCTTTCTGCTTGAAGAGGTTACTGTGTATTTACAACCAGTAAATACTTCAGAGCTTTTTTTCCAAAGCTGCTTGGTTTGTGTTTGGGTTGGGATTGTATTTGTTCTTCAGTCCTAACAGACGTGCGTAATTGAAAACATTCTGGATTTTGATTCCTGAAGCTTTTTCCCCCTCCTCTGGTTAACCACTTGATTTTTTCCAAATGCAATCACTGAAAGCATTAACAAACCCTGGCTGCGGCTGCAAGCGGGAGCAGGCTCCAGCCAAATCCCCGAATGCCGTGGAGTCACCTTGTAAGCAAATACCCAGCAAAGTCCCCAAAGTCCCCTCGATCCCTCCTTATCCCATGCCGAGCTCTGACGGAGGAGGGGGTAACATATGTTTGGAGTGACGCTGACTGAAAGGATATCAACAAACACACAGAAAAGGAGTTTTCAAAACTTGAACCTTGGAGGTTTTCTCTGGGGTCTCTTTGCACTGTGTGAGCTGCACTGGTTTGCAGCGACACAAGCTTATGGTGCTTTAAAATCTTCCTTCTTAAGGATGAAACACTTGTTGTGTAAAAAATGGGATAACAGTTGAAAGGAATATTTGTTTTGGCAAGCTGGGGTTTTTATAATGTGGACTTGTGATTTGTATATGGGAGAACTTCTCAGGCAGTAGACAGGCAGGCTTGATAAGGGGCTTGTGATTTATTGTGGTGATATCTGAGCCCAATATCGGCAATTGCACTCGTGTGGGAAGGGGGAAGGAGGGCCCTGTCTTTTTTTTTTTTTGTCTGAGAGAGAGAGAGAGAGAGAGAGATCCTATTTCCTGAACATGCTTCTGACAAAGTAAGAATATCCGATATTGATCGGGAACCCTAAAACAGGCGAATCTTGTAGCAGCGCTCGGCGGCGCGGGGTGAAGCCAACAGCGGAGATGGTATCTCGCAGGTCATAGCTGCTGCCAGCAATCCGAGTGCCAAGCTGCTGCTTCCAACAAATGTGTCTCCAAACGTCCTGATCTCGCCCCGCAGTGAAGCTGACTGTCCTTTGGGGCTTATGCTTCACACTGAGATGCGAGGGCTGCAAAACTGGCATGAAGTTAGGGCAAGGCATCAGCAGTACCGGTTGGCTTTCCCGGAGAGGGAAAGGTGAGGAAGAGGAGTCACATCTCTCCAGACTTGCTGCTCATGCTCCCGTCTTGACTCTTCCCGTTGACAGCCTCCAAGCTGTCCCCCCACTTTTCTTTCTGCCCTCCCGTAGCACTTTTGTACTGAGGGTCTGATTCAGAAGCAAACAACCTGTCCTAGCTCCCTGCCTCCCATGCAGCTGGCCCAGGAGCCACTGGGAAGTGAGACTCAAAAGCAGGGGTGGATCCTGAAAACCCAGGAAATGTAATAACACGGGTACAGGTGTCGTGTGGGGGATGCTGCCCATCCCCAGCACTGCCGGAGGGAAGAGAGGACGGGTGCTAGTGCATATGGCTCACATGTGATATCTCAAGAGCCTGCCTTTTCTGAAAGCCCTCCAACATCTGGTTTCTCCTCCCAGCCCTGGGGATGGAAGGGAAAAGAAAAATCCCACCTTTTAACACAGTCTGAACATCGCCTCCATGAAAGTCTGATTTATTGCGGGTGCTGGAGCTCATTGCAGCTTCAGGAGATGCTGGAGAGCAGCGCTTGCAGACATGGGCTGGAGGCTCCATGGCAAGCAGGTTGCAACTCAGGGGTAGTTTCCTATCTGGAGATTTAAGTGCTGAAATTCAGAGGGCAAAAACAAAAAGGTCAAAGAAGATGCAAAGGACTTCTCCCCAGCCATTGGTGTGCCAACTCTGGGAGTGAGCGAGGTTCCTGGTGGTACCACCTGGGCCAGTGCTGTCCTCCTGCCAGGAGACTGCTGGAGTGCGCTCAGGGGCTTTTAGGATCTTCTGCACCAGGGACCTGCAAGGGATATCCCTGAGAGTAGCAGGCATGGGCAGATAGTTTTTGAGGGGGTTTGGATGGCCTGACCCTGTCCTGGCATGGTGGAATGTGACATGGGGAGCTGAGGAGGGAATCACCATCAAAGCTCAGGTTGCAGAAATCCTGCACTAACCACCCTGGGAATGCATGAACCCCCCAGCCCTGCACATTTGGAGGTCTTTGGCAAAGACAAAAAATTATATGTACTGTCCCTGGGACCTAACAACCCAAAAACCCATGGGAGTGAGCTTGGAGGAGAAGCAAGGAAGGGGAGAAGGAAGGAGAACTCCAGGCTGCAGTGCCCATCCACAGCCACTGTCTTGCAGTGAGAGTCCCTTCTCCATGCTGGGGCTCAGCAGTGACCTTCAGGCCAGGGACCAAGAGAAGTGCAGCCTCCAGAGTCTCCCAAAACCTTCCTAAAACAATGGAGAGGAGAGGCCCATGGCACTCTTGGGTTGCTGGGGCATTTTGTAGTGCCAGCCAGCAGCATGGCATCAGGCTGCACTCAGGACAAAAGGTGGCTGGGTTGATGGCCAGCGTGGGTAGATGCTTTTATTTCAGTCTCTCTCTTTGTCCCGTTGAGATGAGCAAACAAACCCTCTGCTCATCCTCCTAAAGGTCATCAGAGGTGTTCCTGCTTTTGTTTTGAGAGCTGGATTGATGCCGGGGTGCAGATCCCTTGAAGGAGGGGCAGGGGGGTGCCAGGGAAATGTAGGAAGAAAAATTAAAAATTGAAATCTGTTAATGCCACACCTTTATAACACTGAATAAATGGAGGGGGCCCAGTCAGCCGCACCCCCCACCCCCCCCCCAGCCATGGCTGCTCTCCCCAGCGCAGTCCCCGCGCCGCCCCGTACCCCGCGCGCTGATGAAATGGAAAGTTGACCATAAATCAATGTCGGTGGCTGCGTTAGCTATGCATCAGCGGCTCGGCGCCGAGATGCACCAAAACAAAGCACCGGCTGCTCCGTGTTCCCACACTGCCCCCTAATGCAGACAGACATCGGGAGCTGGGGAGGACGGGGGGCTCGAGAGCCCGAGGGGGTTCCCCCCCACATCCGCTCCCTGCCTCTCCTCCCTGCGTCCTGGAGCATGTCTCTCCGGGTGAGGTTGCCCATGGAGGTGAGGATGGTGAAGCCAGGGACAATAGGAAGAGGTCCGTGTTGCCCTGCTCCCTCCTTGGATGTGCCACCATTTTCTCCCTGCCCAGCCGTCCTGTCCCACCCTCAGTGGGATTTGCCACTCCTCCATGGATGCTGCTGGTGATGGTCAGCCAGCTCCAGCAAGACAGCATGAGAGCCACAAAACCAGGCTGCCCATCCCAAAATCCTGGGGCAGAACTCGGTATCAGCCTACACCAGGCAGGGTTTGAAGGAAGGTGGCTTACAAGCTGAAGGAAAGGAAAAGCAAGCATCAGAGAAAGTTTTTTTTCTGGAAGTTTAGTAGGATGCCCGAGGCTTTTGTACCGAACGTCTGGAGCATATGGTGGGATTTGCAGTCAACTTTCTCTCGGGTGCTCCAGCCAGATGGAGGTGACTGTTCTTGGCTCCGGCTGACACGGGTTTGTTTCCTGAAGAGCTTGTGTTAAACATATTCCTTAAAACCAGGCTTCTGCAGTTGGGAGCCCCAGCTGCAGGCGAGGCAGAGCTCCTGCCCACGGCTGCCTTTCGCTGTCTGCGGGGGAACTTGGCCCGCCTTGCCTTGCTTTGCCTTGCCTTGCCTTGCTTTGCCTCGTCTTGCCTTGCCTTGCCTTGCCTTGCCTTGCCTTGATTTGCCTTGCCTTACCTTGCCTTGCTTTGCCTCGCCTTGGCTTGCCTTGCCTTACCCTCTCTCAGGAAGGTCCTCACCCAGCACCACGTGCTGGAAGGTGACTATGGTCTTCCTCTTTGGAGGCACCTGGAGCATCTCTCCTAAAGGCTCCTTCAGAGATATCTTATTTTTTTCTTGACAACTTGCAAAACATCTCTCTCCTTCAGTAGAAATAAAACTCCTCTCCAATAAACCCAGGCATGGCTTTAATTAATATCCATCTAATTTATTTTAGTATTTTCTAACGTCAAAACCAGCAGGCAGGGGCAGGTATTTTAAACATAAGTTGCCTCCCTATTGCTAACTCGAAACCATCAGTGTCTCATGGCAGTGATGCTGTGCCTTCTCGTACCATCCTGCCTTGTTCTGCCACCCCCAGAGGTGCTTGAAAATGTTTTTAAATAGCAAAACTCCCCCATTAGCTGAAAGTATGTAGCCCATAAAACATGATCCATTTGTGGTGAATTACGCTGGAAACATAAATTGACACACGCAGAGCTATGATCGCTCGTGCCATTTTCCATCTTTAATATTTTACAAGAAGTTTGAGGAGTTGAGCTCATGAAAGACAGAGTGGAAATAATCTGATCGCCTGGAAACTCCCTGTAGGAAGCAGCTGCAGCAGTGAACTTCAGCCGTCTAAAGGGCCAGGTTGGGATTCTGAAGTCCCTAGAGTATAGAGGGGAGAAAAAATTGAAGCGAAGGGGAGGTTGAGGCACCAACAGCTGTTGGAAACAGTTTCCTCTAATGCCATTTTAGCTGTTTTGGGTTGATTGTTGGGGTTTTTGTGAAGCAGCTACAGGAAGGTGAAGAATAGCCCCTAGTGCAAGTTGTCCAGTTCGGAGATTAAAAAAAGGGAAAACTTGAGAGATGATGGGATTTCTCTGGTTGGGAAGAGTGCTGGTCTAGAGATGAGAGTGAGGTAAATGCAGAGCAGGTCCTGCTCATCCAGCATGACATGTCAGATGGAGCTATGCTGTAGGGATGCAACTCAGGGGCATCTGGGATGTGGAGGAAGCAGGACAGCGTGAGTTCAGCCTCCTCTTTTAGCAGCAGTAGTTAATAACTGCTAAATACATATTTTTTAAGAAAAAGGGGTTGTTCTGTTGGTCGGAGCCCACATGTCGTCTCTGCAAAACACTTGTCTCAACTGCCATGATCCATCGGGATCATCTGCTGCTTCCTCTGCAGCGAGGCAATCCCGTGCGAAAGAGTAACCAATCCAGCAGGCATTCCCGGCCAAGCACGGGTCCCAGCCCTGAAACTGTCTGCAAGTGTTTATGGAGATAACACCATCCAGAGGGTCTGCATTTCTGACAGAGGAGAGCAACCATGCCGAGGGGGCCGCGGCAGTTGCAGCCCAGAACGAGCACTTGGGATGCTGCTGCTTGTTGCTGTTTGGAAAAAGTGAGAAAAGAAGGAAAAAGGAAAAAAGCTGCTTTCAGCTCCTCCCTGCATGCCAAAATGTTTGCACAATCTGAGTTTCTGCAGCCACCTTATCCGGAAGTCTCCACTGGGAATGGTACCCCATGGGATAATGCAAGGGTGAGGATGCTGCGGCACTGAGCCTGGAGCATCCCAGGGAGCAGCTTTGGCATTGGGGCAGGACCACGCTCCAGAGGATGCATTCAACAGCACAAACAACTGATTCTTTCCGGATCCAATTGCCACGGGGGAATTTTTCTCTGGTGGAAATGCTGCCATGTCTCATAGATGCTTTTTCTCCAATAACCAGATACTGTTTGTGCTGAAGCTCAAAATGCTGACCCAAAGCACCACCTCTGGGCCCGGTCAGGGTGTGCATTGGTGGCCCTGTGTCCCACACATGTGATACCTGTTCACCCCATACCCTCACACGCTGGGAGATACGAGAGGGAGCACATCAAGGGTTTAATAACTTGAGGATGGGGTGTGGGTGCCTGTGCAGTCAGTACCTGGACAGCAACAACCCCCTCCTTGCTGCAAAGGCAGGCATTGTGGCGTTGACTCTTGCACTGATGTGGCTCAAGGATTGACTGGTCTCTGCCAACCTGGGTTTTTAACTTCTATGTGTTTTCATCGCTCATTCACCTTCTGATCTTCCTACCCCAAATCCTGCAACTGAGGCGTGTAGGAAGGGCTTTGGGGGTGGCCAGAGCTCACTGGGGGATGTTGTCCTCCACCTACAGGTGGTGGGAGGTGGCTGCTGCCCCTGCTGCACTTTGCATTTAGAAGCTTCAGAAGCAAAAATAAGTCAACTTTTCATGCCTGGAGAGGAATTCTGCTAAAGGAGGTTGATGCTACAGTTAGACCACAGAGGTTTGTCTTCTCTCTACGGGATGAGGATGGAGAAGGCAGCAAGAGGGTTGTCCTGAGGTGCTGTGGCCTCATCCAGATGAGGTTGGCCAGACACCAAGGGCAGGGGCTGGTTCTGTTTGGCTCCTGGAGAATAAATGGTGGTGTAAGTGGTGGGATTTCAGACTCTGGAGCAGAGAGGTTGGCAGGAGGCTGTTGGTTTAAATCCGCTTGGCTCCATCTCGCTGCCGAACCGTTCAAATAAAAAATTAATGAGAAAAAAAAAAAAAAAAAAAGAAGAAAAAACCCACCCTCTTACTTTATTTACATTGCACTCAAGTTTCCGCTGTACAAAAGATTTGCAGGTGCAAATATGTCCTGCCTTCATTAACTTCCCCTCCCTTTTTAATTTATGTGATTTCAATTTTCCTTCCCTGTACTGTTAATTAGGGGACCCTCTAATCAGTACCATTATCACAGTGGTATTCATGTTTAGGAAAGCTGCTAAACAAATGCTTGCAAAATTGCTAAATGGCTAATTAATGTCTGTTAATTAAGAAAATTGCTCATGGTAACAAACCATGCCATTGCTGGCAGCAGCTAGAAGGCGAACACTTGTTGAAATTAGTAACGAGGCAGGTAGAGAACATCTGCTCCGGCGCCAGTCCTGGAGCCTGCCGTCGCTTCCCATCACCTACTGACAGAGCTCCTTTGCTTTCTCTACCAATTACACCTCCTTTGACTCAAAAAAAATACTATTTTTTTTTCTCTCCTTACATTAACACGCACCGATATATTCTTGCACTGAGCTCACGGTTTTTCCAAGCAAATTTTCATTTTGTGCTTTTAAGGGAAATTTAAAAAAACATTAAAGTGGGTGTTCAAGCCCAAAATGTCAGCGGCTGCTGCACTGCAGCCTTAAACCTGCACCAACTAATCTCTCCTTTTTTCCCCTAGACATCCTTTCTTTGCTCGCAAGCCATTTTACTCGCATCCTTAGGGAATCCACCTCGAGGAAGGATGTTGCATCCCTTCAGTGTGGCAGTGCAGCCCCGGTTGTGCCGGCCAAACGCTGCCCAAAGCGTGAGCTGGGACGTGCTCCTTGTCCTCTGCGCTCGCTCCAGCACCTCCAGTGAACCACGGTCAAAACATAAACCCAGAGGCGTTTCCAACCTTTGGGATGAGAGAGGAAAAAAATTTTTTTTTTTTTTTTGTTTGGGGGTGTTTTTTGTATTTCCCCCAACCTCTCTGGTCCCCTCCTGCGTATTTTTTTTAACTCGTTGCACGCCCCTGCAAAGTGTTTCCCTGTGTGTTTGTCATTGCAGACTTGGTTGAACCACTGGACCATTTACCCTCAATGTGGCTGCTGTATTTTGACAGATGTTCTGATTTTGAATATATATATATATATTTTTTTGCATATCTCATTATTCATTGTTCAGCTGCAAATGAATAGAAACTCAATTAAAAAGAGGGAAAAAAAAGGAAAAAAAAATCATTTAAAACCGGGAGAACTGACTCCCCAACTAAACAGGTCCACCTGTGAATCCTTTTTTTAGCTCTTTCTGCGCTTTCATGTGCTAATCTATAACCTCCTTCTACTGTCTGACCTCACAGGGACCGCCTGGGTCACAGCCCTCGCCACACGCACAGCCTCCACCCCACAATCCTAACAGCATGATGGGACCCCACAGTCAGGTAAAGACACTAGTGATGGGTAGGGCTGTGAACCGGGACGTGCGCTCGATTTACTTCTTTTTTTCCCCTCTCTAAGCATGCTGGGCAGCGGTACCCGCTCCCCAGGGAGCATTCCCCCGGGCACCCCAGCTCTGAAGCAAAATGTTGGTTTTTTTCCCTTTTTTTTTTTTTTTTTTTTTTTTTTTTTTTTTTTTTTTTTTTTTTTTTTTTTTTTTTTTTTTTTTTTTTTTTTTTTTTTTTTTTTTTTTTTTGATATGCTGTTGTCAATGGACAATCGTGGGTATGAGACTCTTTTACCTTCCCAAGGTAGCCTGAGAAATTTAACTTGATGTGGGTTTTTAATCTTCTGTTAGTAGCAGCAGTTGTACAAAAAGTAACGTTAAGCCTTTCTTCTTTTTTTTTTTTCCCAGTACTTAGCACCGGGGTTTTTTGTGTGTGCGTGTCTGTATGTGCTTATTTGCCACTTTTTTTAATATATCTCTATATATTTAAACTTGAACAGTGTCTAACACTCAAGGTTTCCCATGCACTAATTTTAACAGCCTCACCTAGTATTGCCGATGTCAAACGCTCTCGAACAATAAATCTACAGAGAAAACGTTTAAGAAAACGGACTCCAGACACCTTTCTTTTTTTTTTTTTCCCTTTTGAAACGTAACTTTTTTAAAAAGGATGTCTCCAGAAAAAAAAAAAAAAATCAAAAATACCAAAAACAGTGTGTGCAGGCTAACCAGCGTGCGTGGGGAGCGTGCTGCCTCCCCACAGCTCAGCCCTGACCCCCTTTTGTGTCCCCGCAGCCGTTCATGTCACCGCGCTACGCCGGAGGTCCCCGGCCCCCCATCAGGATGGGCAACCAGGTACTGCGCTCCCGGGATTCCGCATCTCCTAGGGATTGCTGTTGTGTGGGGAGGGAGACAGCAGCCAGGTGTTCTGGAGATGCTCCTTGGCTTCGGGTGGCAAGCATCGCCTCCCTCGGGCATTCTCTGTTTCCTCGGTGCTGCACCATCTAGTGTCACTTAACTACTATATTTTAATTCTGTTTTGAGGTTCAGGCATATCCAGGGTGGAAACAACGGTGGGGAATGTGCTGCTTTCTATCTGTGATGTTTCCAGCAGGGTTGTGCCATGCCATGTGCTCGCTGCCCGGCTGGATTTTCCCTGCAATCGCAGAAAATTAAAGTGATGGAGATAATCCTGCTGCTGGGCTGACCGAGCGCTTAGATCAGCGGCGGGGTCAAGCGGGGCAGGTCAATGCTGAATTTTTTGGGCTGGGTTTATCCTCTTATCCCAGCTTAAACAAGGGCAGTTTGTTTCTGGCCTTACGGATGAAGGCTTCCACCCCACGCCCTGCCTGGGTGTGTTCATGGCTTTCGTTGAGGAATTCATGTCCTTCCCAGTGATGCCGTGCAGATCCATAGGGTAATGACCAAGCCAGAGGTTATCTGTCACTAAAGGGAAATTCAAAGAAACCTGCAATTCCCTTGAGCAGCAAAGGTGACTGTGCAAAAATTGGGAGCTTATTTTTTGGCTATCAGTGCTATTTTTGTATTGGTCTAATTAGCAGAAAGAGCAGTATAGTCAGGAAATAGGATGTAGCAGCTTGCTCTGTTATTGTGCTTGCTGGATTTGAGACTTGAATAGCTGGAACTTGCTAAATGATGGTAAGACAGCTTGAGATGTGGCTGAGAAAAACGCAGTGGGGGCTGAGCCTCCCTCTCAGGGCACTGGTGGCCGTTCTAGTGAGGTATTAATTGACTGCACCTCGTCATGGGTCAGTTTTAACAGGACCTCATCCTGCTGTGGTCTAGAGCTCATCCCAAACTCTGCTGGAGGTGAGCACAGTGAGCTGGGCAGGCAGGAGAGGCAGGAGACTAGTTTGGGGAGGATGCTCCCACAGAAGGATCAAGCATCCGGGAGTGGGTGAGGTTAATTAGAAGGATTTCATTTTTTTTACCCCCAAACACCACATATAAAACACATGTTTGCACCTACGCAGAGCTCGGCGAGGTTGCGGTCACATCCTGAGGGACAAGAGGAATAAATAGGCAGGCAGGAAGGTCAGGCAGCAGAAGTGTAAATATCCACCTCTACAACCTCTCTAGTTTATCTTCCTCCTGCTGCCAGCTTCCAGGCTGCAAAAACACTTGAGATTGGGCAGATTCTGCCTCGGTGCAACCAAGTGCACCCAGTGCCTGCGCTGTGCTCCAGCAGTGGGATCCTCAGTGTCGGCATCCAAATAAAAGGCAGCACTGTAGCAAAACTGTTTACAGTTTGCTTCCCCTAGGCAGATGATATCTGCGTTTTGCTTCCCCTTTATCTGTTCAGAGCAGCCTTTGAACTTTAAATAGCAGTGTTGCCCAAGCAGAGCGTGGGTTTGGGGACGGGGAGCATCTGCCTTCCCCTCTGCCTGCGTGGGGAGGGGTCCCACTGCTGCTCTGCTGCACGTGGAGCATCTCTTCTCCACAGCCCATGGAATCACTGTGACCTCTTTGGCCCTGCTGCTGTGTAGTACTGGGTTGCCATCCTGTGGGTCACCTTTCCCTGCTGGATTTCACACCTCTGCCCTTCTCAGCCTCAGGCTTCCCCCACTGCCCTAAAATATGACAGACTGAAATTGCGTGGCCTGCGGGTAGGAGAAAACTCTGGCGCCTTGTTTGGGTTTTAGAGGGTGTTTACAAAAAGATGAGGGAGGCAAACATCTGGAGGCTGTAGAAGTGGGGTGTAGGATGCAGCGGGACGCAGGATTTAATTTTTTTTAATCTTCTTGCCTTGTTTTCACAGCCCCCGGGTGCCGTTCCCGGTACACAGCCATTGCTGCCCAATTCAATGGATCCCACGCGACAGCAAGGTAAGCCCAGCAGAGGAGGGGTGAACATTAACGTTTCTCCTCAGCTGTCAGTTTGGGACCTAAACGGGCTGCGGTACCATGTAACATCCCCTACTTTTGCTCCCAACAGGGCACCCCAACATGGGCGGCCCCATGCAAAGGATGAATCCTCCGCGAGGGATGGGCCCCATGGGTCCCGGTCCACAGGTAAGCCCAGCTCCAAAGAGCATCATGCAAAAACACTGCACACCATTGGAACAACCTCCTGGGGCTTGGAGGGCTGGGAGTTCCCCCCCCACACCCGCCCTGTCCCCACATTAGTGTTAATGCATTTTACATTAGTCTTGCATCTGGAAATCCGTCCTTTTAACATGAGTGAGGTCTTCAGAGCTCATTAAGGGTATTGCAGCCTCCCTCCTGCCCTTCTGTCAGAGGGGATGGCACTTAGCTCTGTGCTGGAGCAGCCTTTGAGTGCATTACACTGCCTGCCTGGGAAATAGTTACGACCCTAACAGCAGGAAAGGGAAAGGAGGCTTGCATTTAAAATAAATAAATAAAAAGAAATGGCAAAGATCCCTTTAGCAAGGGAATAAGGCTTTCCCCTGTGAGGTTCCCCTCCACCTGCCCCTCCTGCTGCCTGCTTGAGCTCTCTATTTCGGGAAAGGGGAGTAAACTCTTGAAATTAAGCAGATCTGGGTTAATATATGCTGTCGTTCTGTTGATTCGCTTTCCGGAGTGGCTTATTGTTGACTCACTCCTGTTTGTTCCTTCTACAAGACTTCAAAACCAGATTACCATATTTTGGTTGGAGGTTTATCCTCTCTGCATCGTCGCCTACGTGGAGTTTGTAGCGCGAGGATCAGAGTCTGTCAAGAGACGGGCGGGTGCGCTGGAGTTTTGTTTTGTTTTTTCCCCAGAGACTGTTGAGATAAGTGAATGTTGTGTAAAGAGAGAGTTGTGTCATCTCTTTAACACCAACCTGATGATGCTGCTCAGGGATGCTCAGCCATGTCCACGGACGCCTGGATCCATCCTAGGGCAGGGAATAAAAAACCTGCATGAGCATCCTTTGCAGAAGTCCTCCAATAGCACTGCTGCTGTGCTTAAAATCCTCCTTTCCTGAAGGATTGCACCCAAAAAAAACCCGGCATTTGCCAGCGTGGCCTGCGCCAAGGCGAGCGGCGGCGGCTTGCCCGGGGGAGGCTGCTCGCTTCCCACTTCCAAAGCTCGCCGAGAAACTTGGAAGCGGCGAGCGCGCGCTGAGCGCCGCGTGGGATGGCAGCAGCTCCGGGAGCCGGCAGGAGTTGTGAAATGTTCAGAGCTTTATTTTTGACTCCACCATTCCCTGTGTACGTACATTAGGGAGAGGTTTTTTAAGAGGCAGCCTTTCCCTGGAGAGGCGCTGGGCTTCCCAATCTGGCACCCGCGGGCGCTGCCTTCCCCCCAGACATCCAGGAATCGATGCCTGCACAGGCAGCCACCAAAAATACCAGCCCTAGCCCAGCAGCCCCTCGCACCTTGCATGCTCAAGGCTTGTTTTTCTTCAAGCTTTGCATCAGGACATTCCTAAATACTCCCCAAATCATTCCAGAGAGCTGCAGAGCATCCAGCCAGGACATCCCGGCGTCCTGACAGCAGCTCCTTATTACACACCAGTGATGAATCATCCCTTTCAGCTGGTTGCTGCTGCCTTTTTCCCTTTAATAGTCCCAGTTGTATCGCTGCAGAAGCCAGGACGGGGTTTGCCAGCGCCTCTATGAAGAGGATTTGTAGCTCCCTGGGTTTTGGCGGTGTCTTGCCAGAGCCCAACATCCAGGTCGCTCAGCACAGCTGCGTTCCCTCCCCACCCTCCCTGAGCATCTTTCAGCTGGCTTCGTTTTCCAGCCTTTCAGCTCCAATTAAAAACGCTGAGCCCTTTTTCTTTTTTTTAAACAAGGGGTTTGATGCTGCTATTCAGTGTAAATGGCTGAAATTTCAATCAATTAAGGACTTGCCGGTAATTTGTTTGGGGAAAACCCTTTTCTTCCTCTTCAAAACAAACTTTAGTGATGCCCTCAGCAGAGTGCCATGTTCTGGTATATCCATAAATCCAGTGAAAAATTGACAACACTGAAGTATTGTACTTAAAATCCAGCTTGGAGCACTCTGAGGGGCTGTGGAATGGGAAGTGGCCAGCCATCACTCCTTCTGCAGTAGCAGTTTTTTCTTTAAATGGCAGAAATACAGCCCAAAAAGATTCAGAACAGGGAGGGAGGTGGGAGGGGAAGAGCGCCAGCGCGACCTAAATCCGGCTGCACGTCGCCTGGAGGGCACAGGGAGCAAAGCTCAGACCAAATGGAGCGCGGCATTCGGGGGATTCCTCTTCCTTCGCCGCCTGGGGCTTGGCTTTGTACTAGAGCTGGTTTTAGGAGATGGGGGATGCAGATCTGAGGCTCCCGGTCCCAGCTGGAGGCTAAGCCAGGGTGGAATAAGCCAGGAGAGGAGCCTCAAGGGGCTGCCTGCCCTTGCCTGTTCCCCACGGCTGCAGACCTGGAGCAGAGAGCTGGAGAGCACCAGGAAAACAAGCTTGGCTTGGTTTTCCCTACTCCAGTTGTCATCCTGAGAGCAGGGGATGCTCCATTTCACATGGAGCTCATGCAGCCTTTCCCCATCCTTAAACTGCAGCAGGAACCTTCCAGTGGTGCCTTTTCTCTTCCTGCCCCTGTTTTCTCCTGCACAAAAGGACAAATCTAAAAGGCTGTTGTTGGCACCAGAGGCTGGGAGTGGATTTGTCTCCCAGACTTGGGAGGGGGTTGTTTTTCCTTCAACCATGTGGCCTCAGAGAGCAGGGAGGGGGAACTTCAGGGCTCAGCCTGGCTCCCATCCATATTGAGCTGCCTGTTTTTTTATAAATATGTAGCAATATATAGATATATTTACCAATTGCCTCTACATTCATCATCATTAACTTTTTTATTAATCTCATTTTTACAAACAGATCTGCTTGTTTTTTTGATTGTTTATTGGGGATTTTTCCCCTTCTCTTGTCTAGTGTCCTTTCCTGTTACAGTAGACTGACTCTTGGTTATTGTTGCAGAACTACGGCAGCGGCATGAGACCTCCACCCAACTCCCTAGGCCCTGGCATGCCTGGAATTAACATGTAAGGCAAACCCCCGCACTGGGATGTTTGACTGCTGACTCAGGACTGCGGGACTGTACGGATTAAAACACAACATTCTTTTTTTTCCTGTTTAATTTTGACCCCAGGGGGCCGGGTGCTGGTAGACCGTGGCCGAATCCCAGCAGTGCTAACTCAGTGAGTATCCCATGGTCCTTGGAGCAAGAGCAGGGTTGGTTGGGAAGTATCCTGCAAATGGAGCCATTCCCTGTTAGCTGAATCCTGCTAATGAGAGGAGATTCCCAGCCTCTTGCTTAGACTGCTGGGCCCCTGAGTTTCTCATCCTGGCCGGGCTGAGGTGGCAGTGGGGGCTCTCAGCTGTGTCCTGCTGGGAGCCTGTGGAGCCCCCATGCACCCCGAAGCTGAACTTGGCTCTCTTCTCCCTACAGATTCCATACTCTTCTTCATCGCCTGGTACATACGTGGTGAGTCCTTCTGCTCCATCTGTCCATCCTGTCATTGGGGTGCTGAGATGTTACAGGAGTTCATATGGTTTGGGATGCAGTTGGTGCCATGGGGAGTGACCAGGCTGGTTTTGGGGGTGTGAGGTCCAGCTGGTGTTTGCAAACGTGGAACAGTGGGCAATGCTCATATCTGCACATCTGATGCATCTTTGTCTCTCTGCAGGGTCCCCCCGGCGGCGGTGGTCCTCCAGGGACACCCATCATGCCCAGTCCTGCAGGTATGAGCCCTCCAAGGAAGACCCCCCTTCTCCCAGACCAGCCCTTCAGGCTCCTACCCCTTCCCCTTCCAGGAGACCCCCAGCCCTTGGGCTGTGCCCACAGGCAAACAACAGATTTCAACTTTCTGGGGAGTGAGTGGCATGGGCTGCTTGGCTTTGGGATGGCATTTGAGGGTGTTCCTACATCCCCCTATGGATCTGGTAGCTGGGGGGCTCAGGGAGGTGAGGAATTACTTCCCCACACTTCACAACCAGGAGTTGAATTATTTTTCACAGTTGAATTTCTGTGATTAAAAACTTTGTGGATCTTCATTAAATACAAATTAGCCAGAAAATGGTGGTAGTTAGAGGGAATTTTAGGTGATAAAATACAAAAGAATGAGTTCAAGTGGCATGAGTTTGTTTTAATTAAGAAATGAATTAATCACCCGACTTACTGGGCTTCACTGTTCCACAGATTCAACAAATTCAAGTGACAACATCTACACAATGATTAATCCAGTACCGCCCGCAGGCAGTCGATCGAATGTAAGTCTGCTTTCTAATAATTTACATATCAGATACCATAACAAATCATAATTAACTTCATCAGTTGAGAGTAAAGCAGTTTAATTGATTTCAGCCATTTGTTACAAAACAGAAATAAAACAAACCATCAAAAAGCGATTAACTCTTGGGCAACTTTGTTAATTTTTTATGCTTATTAAGAGAGCAGCGGTCCTGCTGCTCCGGCCGAGGTAGTGGCAGCTGCGTGCCCGGAGAGGTGCTGGGTTTTGTGGGATACAGGCAGCCTTAAATCTCATTAGATGCTGGTTGGATGGAGCCCTCTGTGTTGCCATGGCTCTGGGTCTGCCACTCAGCCAAATTTTATAGGACAATCCGCAGGACCCCTGAGGCCTCACAGCCTCAGGGGATGATATGGTCCCAAGTTGCGCAGAGGAGGTCTAGGTTGGATATTAGGAAAATTTTTTCGTGGAAGGAGGTTTCAAGCACTGGAACGTGCTGCCCAGGACAGTGGTGAAGTCACCATCCCTGGAAGTGTTCATGAAACCTGTGGATATGGCATTGAGGACATGGTTTAGTGGTGGTGCTGGGTTGACAGCTGGGACTTTGTGATCTCAAAAGTCTTTTCCAACCTTAACAATTCTAGGATTCCATGATGTGTCCCATTCGATGAGGGATGTCTTGGGTGGGGGAGATGTTCACCAAGGAGCCACCGAGGCAGATATTTGGAGTGGTCTTGTGACTGATTTTGGTTTTGTCACCTTTCTGTTCCTCAGTTCCCGATGGGCCCCGGCTCTGACGGCCCCATGGGCGGCATGGGCGGCATGGAGCCCCATCACATGAACGGATCGTTAGGTGAGTGACGGACAGGGGACTGCCACAATGGGCTTTCGCTCCCTGGGGACACTGGCAGAGCATCCCAGTGCCTGCTCCCATCCCAGGGTCGACGCCCAGTTCACACCAGTGGCTCAAAGCAGAGCTGGAAATCAGAATGGGGTGTGGGGGCAGCTGAGCGGGGGGTTCTGGGCCATGGCTGCATGCTCAGTAAGGCTCTTCTCCTTTCTCTCCCCTCTGTGCAGGGTCAGGAGACATAGATGGACTTCCAAAAGTAAGTGGCTTGCAGGGTGGGTGTGTGGGCTCCCCTTTTCCTGGCACTGGAGTACCAGTGTGACCCTGATGGATGGTGACATGTTGGGAAACGTGACTGGGGCGGGCAGGGCTATGTCCTGCCCCCATGGTGTTTCGGGGGGCATGGGGACCTGCTCACCACCTCCCCTCCCATCTCTCACAGAATTCTCCAAACAATATAAGTGGCATTAGCAATCCCCCGGGCACTCCAAGAGACGACGGGGAGCTGGGAGGCAACTTTCTCCATTCCTTCCAAAATGACAATGTGAGTGAGTGCCTGCCTGGGGATGGGGGGACAGTTCCTGGGGAGAGTGATCATTGTTCTGTATGTGAGCTGCTCTGGGACAGAAAATTGGGCAGGAAGAAATATGCTGGTGGGTGGAAGCTTGGGGTCCTTGGTGGGATGAGTGTGTACTGGTGGAGAGGAGAGGATCTGCAGGATGGAGAGGAGCTGGTGCAGATGCAGCCAGGCTGTGCCGACCTGGCCGAGTTGAGGCTCCATGGGTGGCTACAGACATCCCTCCTCTTCTTCCTCTATTAGCAGCATATACACGTGTGCATGTTAATTATTTGTTTTAAATTGCATCTCACCCCATACTGTTCTGCTGATTTTCTTCCCGGAAAAGCAAGTTACAGCTCACATTATGCCCTGATAAACTTGAGTCTCCAGCATATCCTCTCCTCCTAGTTTATTAGGTCCAATTAGGTTGCTGTGTAGTTGTCATCAGCCTCCTTTTGCATCCCCCTCCGATGGCCGGGGGATCTGACCTGCCTGGTTTCTCACCCTGTCTCTGTCTCTCTTCCAGTATTCCCCCAGCATGACGATGAGTGTGTGATTTCCCTCCCCCTCCTCCTCTCCAGGATCAAGAGAGTCAGCTGCCGTTCGGAGGATCTCAACGAATTATGCAAGAAGAAGAAGAAGAATCTAGGTGTATGGGCAGGGACACGCGTGGCGGGGGCCAAAACCCCAGGTTTAGTTTCATGCAATAAAAAGGCTGAACTTTTTATTCCATAAAACATGAAGGACAAAACTTAAAATATTTCAAGACATGACAAGACCCTTCTTTGTGCAGAAGGGTTTATATATGTACATGACACTTCTTTTTGGAAACAAACGGAAGCCTCTAGCACCCAACTCCGATCTCTTTGCTTTGTTCTTTTAAATAAAGACAGAAACCGAACCTGTTGTATGTTTGTGCCGTGCGACACCAGGAAGCTAGTCTAGATATGAAATCATGTTGTCTCTGTTGTAGTCATTTTTTTAAATAAACTGGACAGTTTACAATGGTGGTTTTCGTTCAGAAGGCCTGTTTTTCTTTTTTTTTTTTCTTTTTTTTTTTGGTTTCGGGGTTTTTTTTCCCTTCTATTTTTGGGGGTTTTTTTGTTTGTTTGCAGCACAACGCTTCCTCCTCCAGTTAACAAGATCTGCTTTGGGGAAGAGACTCCACCACCTCGTTATAAACTTGTTAACGCAGGTGACCCCTTCTAGGATCACATCCTCGAATGAATCGTGATCTTGCTCTCTGTGACTGTGGCATGCACTGTGTTAGTCTTTCCCCCCCTCTCTGAGTACAAGAAGAAATCTCTTGTCCCTCCCTTCCCCAGAATCCTTCAGGCTGGTTCACTGCAAAAATTGATTTTTTAAATAATTTTTTTTTTAATCCACCGAAAGAGAGAGTTAATCTGACCTGGGACTTTGAAACTGTGATCTCCAGCTAACTTTGGGATTTTCTGGGGGTTTTATTTGTTTTAGGGGTATTTGGGGGGGGGGGTGGTTCTTTTCTTTAGAGATGTGCTCTTGTCAGGATTTCACTTATCTATGATTTGGAACTGGATGGAGATATTTTTTAAGGAATTCTTGTTGTTAAAATGTAACCTTGCTATTCTGTAGGCTCGCTCTGTAATAAGAAAATAAAAATTAATGGCAAGCATCGAAGGCCCTTCCTTCTGGTGGGAGAGGAAGGGACGAGCCAAGGCGGCGGGTTGGGATCTCTGTACATGACACTACCCTGTAGTTTGGTCTTTGTTTTTCTGCAGCTCCCATTTCTGCTCCATGTATATCATATTCTGTAAAATATTCTCTCCCTTGGATTTGACCTTTGTGCGGATTATTGAAAGCATTGTATCTTGTTTCAGTGTTTTTTTCTTACCTTGTAGTCTGGTTCGAAAATTACCAAGAGGGGAAAAAAAAAATAATTATACATTGTAGTTTGTGTACGATATTTGTTGATAATGTTTTATTAAAGGGATGTCTTTTTTCCGCACCCCTTCATTGAAATGTTTTTGGGGGACATTTGGCTTGTTTTTATTATTCTGACTGCAAGACATGAGATGACAAAACTTTTTTTTTAGTATGTAATGAGTTTCTTTTTTTAATGTTTGCCTTCGTTTTCCTAGGCATTTTCATTGTGCTTTACCTGTAGAAAGTTGCTGGGGAGGGAGGGGCGGTTGGGATGGGGTTTCTGAGGGAGTCGGTCTCATAGTTACAGTCAGGTTAATATTTTCCAGGTAATAACTGAACATGGATTTCTCACATCAGCAAAACCCAGGGGCTCCCCAAGGGGTCAAGTTTTTTCCTTTTCCACTTCACATCTTGTTTCGGTTTTGGGGTTTTTTTCTTTTTTTTTCTTTTTCTTTTTTTCTTTTTCTTCTGACGTGAGGAAATTAAAGGACCGGTTTTAATGTATTTTAAAATGAATAGCTAAATTATTGTCTTCATTGGTATCGGATGGTTTTTTGAATGAAACGGTTCTCCCCCCTTCTCCCCCCTCCCCATGCTGTAATAAATATCAACATAAACATTTGATTTTGGTGCTCTGCTGTTTGTTCCTGGTGTTTGCTGCCAGACCCAGGGCGGGAGTTGGGTATTTTTTTCCAACCTCTATCAAGGACCAAACCCCAGGTTTGGGATGCAGGAGCAGAAGTGATGCAGAGCTGGGGGGAAGGGGGCTGGAAGTTGGCCCCAAAAGGGATCCCAAAGGGATTTGGCTGCGGTGCAGGACCTGAGGGGCTGGGAGAGGTTTGATTTAACAATGCCTGCTTGTTTCCTTTTTTTTTTTTTTTTTTTAAAGCGTTTTGAAAATGTAGCTTTTAGCCTAGAAAAATGGTCGGTGTTGTCTGTACTGGGCTGAGGATTTGCTCACTGGACTCTTGGTCTCCCTGCACCCAGACCACCATGCTGCAGGCAGAGGGGAACTTTCAGGAGCTAAAAAGGGTATTTTTTTTTTGTATACTGACCCCCGGGCTTACCTCATTAGAGGCTGGAGGAGACAAAGTGCCAGTGTGGCAATGGAGGCAATCCTATGCAGCAGCTCCCTGGGAGAGGAGCTGGGTCCGGCCACCTCCCGTTGCTGGAGTCCTGCACTGCTGGGAGGTAAGCAAGGGATAGGAAGACTGGAGTGTTAACCTTCAAATACATATGTGTATACATACATACATATTGGGCTTGCAGTGGGGTCTGCTGGCAAGGGCTGGCTGCAGTGGTGGGTGGGGGTTTGCACCATTGCAGGATAAAACTCAGATCCGGGCTCTGAAGGAGCTGCTGAGAATGGAGAAGTCCAGGCGAGGCTGACCTGGTTCCCTAATGAGCAGCATCAAAGACTGCTGTAGCATTTGGGGAGAGATTGAGAATTTTTAGGCCTTTACAGGGGTGGTTGCAAGTGCTGGGTGCCTGAAATGCTCCCAGGAGCTGCTGTCTGAGACTTGTTCTCTGCCTTTGACTAGTTCAGGCAGGACATGGTTGGCTGTGAGTGTGCAGCTCTTGCTCCTTGAGGGAATGTTCAAGTGTGGGCTGTAGACTCAAGATGCTGTGGGCTTGGGGGACTGTGGACTCGGGGCTGTGAGCTATCCTGGAGCTCTGCCTGTCCTGGGGAATGCTCCCACCTGGCACCAGCACCCACAGTCACATCACTGCTGCAATTCCAGCAGCAGCACTGTGCAGTCACATGCTGTCATGGATGCTTGTGTGGCAGAAGGCTGAGGGGACAATGCTTTGGATGGCTGCTGGGTTTGGGAACCAGCCAGAGAAATGACAGCCTGCAGAGCCCATCAGCATGTCATTAACGGTGGGGCTGAGGAGAGGGGTGTGTTTGCACCCTTTGCTACCTGTGAATGTTTGCTTCCAGATTAATGCCACAAATCTCCATGTATGGGGTCCGCAGCCATGTCCCAGCATGGATTTTGGTCCAGGCAATTGCGTCCCCTGTGCTTTGCAGAAAGCAGAGTGTGAGCATTGTCCATCACTTGGAGTCGAGCAACCCCCAAGGGTTAATAGCTGATGCTGATGAGGAAATCCTGCCCTCTCAGCTCCCTGGGGCCATCCCTGCCTGCACTGACCATCCAGGCCCTGCTCAGCTGCCCTGAGCTCCAGGCTCCTGCACTGCTGCCTGTTTTTATTGCATGGCACAGAGAAGTCCTTCCCGCTGGTTCTTAAGGGTTACAGGCTAATTTTATTATATATCACCATGAAACTGCCAAGTTCCCTCCTCTAAACATCTCCTGGGCCCAACCTCAGGGATAATTGTCCTCCCCATTAGTTTTCATTAAATTAAATGCAGGAGGAAGATCTGAACAACCAGGGCCTCCAGGCTGAGCACGGGGTGTACTTGCCGGCATGATGAGTGCAGCCCATGGAGCTGGATTTTGCACTGGGAGTGGTTCAGTGGAAGGGAGTGTGGAGTGGTGGAGCCGGGATGGCACTGTGTGCATCATCCCCAGGCAGCTGGGGGTGGTGGCTGCAGAACTCTGCTCTGGGCAGCCAGGCTCTGCCAGGTCCTCATCTCAGGCTCCTGCCACCCAGTTCTTGCGTGTTCTTCTCCCCTGGCTGCCGTTCATTAAAAGTTAATGCCTGGCCCGTGGTCCGTGCTGAGGTAGCGCCATTTGCCTGCTGACCAGCCTTTATAACTTATTGATGCCAACCCAGATGAGGCTCTGTGACCCATTGTCGGGCTCCCAGTCCCACCTCCCTCAGCTGGGCCGAGTCCAGCAGGTCACACTGGAGGAACTGGGAGAGCCACACCATGCACAGCGTGCTCAAGAAGAGCAGTGGGATACCACGGACATGCCTGGTCCATGGACCACGACTGACCAACCTGAGCATCTGTGCCAGGTGCCAAGCTGGAAGCCTCACCCAGCCCCTCTTGAGCTCCCCTGCAGAACCTCAGAGGAGCAAACTGCACAAGGATCAGCTGCTCCTTCCAGCAACGTGAGTGCTGCTTCGCCCTGGCCCCAGGTGAGACCAGCTCTGCCCTGAGCAAAGCAGGGACATGGTCTCGCACGCTTGCGCGTGATCCCCTCAGCTCCAGCGGCTTTCTGATGCCTCATGAAACCTCTGAAGCCTTGTTTTCCCACTGATCTTCCCCTGTCTCACTGCTTCCACCATTTTTTAAAACTTCCTTTGCTCTGCCTTTAAGCATCGTTCCCTGTGCTCGTGCTTTGTCTCTGCTCAGTTCGGAGACAGGATTCCAGCTTCCCTTGCTCCCTCCTCTTCTATTGCTTGCCCTGATGGAGATGTCTTTGTTGAGAGGTAAAAGCATCTGTAGGGACTTTGTCTCTTTCCCACACAGACTATCTCCACAGATTACCATATCTACTCAGAGCAAGGGAGGTGTTTCACCTCTCCAAGCCCCCTCCCCACCCCAGCTGTTTTTCCAGCAGGCTTCCTCAGGGAACCTCTCTGCTCAGGAATGCGAGCAGGCAGCTGGCTGCCCTACAGGGTTTCCTCCCTAGGACGAGTAATGATCCGAAGCCGGAAGAGCGAAGGGATGTCAAGCAGGGTCCATGTGACACAGCAGGGAACCAACAGCCCGAGAAACAAACACCTACAGGCTCCACAGAGCACGGGTGTACTAAAATATATTCCCAAGTACCAGGATGCAAACCACAGACCTGAGCAGATTTACACTGACAAGCTGAATTAGGCATCCCTTGAGCAGGCAGGATTAACACGATTCAGATCAGCGCAACTCTTACTAGATTATTTCTCTTTCAAGCATTTCTCCTAACTATTGAGGGATTTGCTAATTTAATGTACAGCTCCTGCATCCCAATTTACGGGGTGCAACTGTTGTTCTCAAATGTGACTGCTGAAACCTGCAGAGCGGAGCTGCCTGATGGATTGGAACACACAACTGGGGTGCTCATCCAGGTGGTCAGAGATCACGAAGCACAGACCAGCCTCTGACACAAGACACTGAAGAAAGATGAATTTCTTGGAAATAGGCTCTTCCACACCTTAAAATAGCACAGGCTGTCCTCTTCTTTCCCATGTGCTGGAGGGTATCAGAACTGCAAAACATTCTACATTTGGCTGCAGCTAATTTAGCTTTCATTTTACAAAACCCACACTAATCCCCCCATGTTAAAAAGAATACGCTTCCTGCTCAGTTAACTCTGTGTGGCAGGAAGAAATTCTTCCTTTGTATTTTTAGCAGCAAATACCAGCTACAGGCACCAAAAGTTTCATGCTACATTCTACACCACTTTCCCCAAATGCAGAGGTCTCTTCATCCAGGATTGGGGGATAAAAGAACTGCAGTTCTACAGATCCAACAAAGCAATCTCTCCGATTAAGTGCTTTGGGAACTAAGCACAGGGCAGCACGACGCATCCCGCAGCAGCCAGGAGTAAAACAAAGTCAAAGCCAGGCAGAATGAAAAAGGCTCATGTCTCAGGCTCCCCCCTTGAAGCTTTGTAAGTCTCTTCTGCATTCAGAGGGACTCAAAGCAACCTCAGGAATAGGTTTGAGTCTGGCTCTGTGCAGAAGCTCACTGAGAGCAGAGCCTGCGCAGAGGAATAATGACTGGCTTATGTTCTTTCCAGGCAATGGAGGAAGAGTGCAGGAAGATGCATTTGATGGCTTCTCTAACCCAAATTCAGAGGTGAGCCCCTAAAATGAAAGAGTTTCTTCATGCACTATTTAGTTAAAAAAAAAATACTTCACTTTCAGTAACAATATAATTTATTTTTAAAAGTAAATTAATCCACCTTTCTTTAATTATGTGATGGTTCTGGCAAAAAGAAGCAGCAGGTACAGTTGGTGAAGTATTTTCATTTGAGCTGAATTTCACACAGTTCCATGCAGATACAGTGCCAGAAACTTCTTGAATGTGTCTGGCTGAAAGCCATGAATTCCAACGGGCTTCTGCAGAGAAAAAGACACGGATGCTCAGTTTGCAGTGAAGTGATTAATGTAGACAAACAACGGCTTTAAACATGCTTGAATAAGACTTTCAGGCGTGGTAGCTTCCAAATTGTGCTCTCTTCCCCAGAGGGGTTTGTGTGGGGGTACTTCCACTGGTGTCAGTCTCAGAGAGCCGAATCCCCTTGCCCATCAGTGAGATGCCCTCCCAGTATAACCAGCGCTGACAGCCCCATGTTCTGTTTGCTCCCCAGCAAGGCTGACAGTTGCATGTAAGCACTTCCTTCATCAGGGCTGGTTTTAAACGAGCATATTATGAGATGGTGGATTACAGAAAGGGATATCTGTACATAGGAGTTTGTATATTAAGCTTGGCATGTGGCACACCAGCACTACAAACACTCGGGAACTGTTCCCCTCAGGAACACCCGCTTAGGGAATAACTAGGCCAGTGTCCGTGTCATGTCCCTTCAGCTGGTTTAAAACCTGCTGCAGCTCTGCACCAGCTCTCAAACCCCCCCCCCCCCGAGGTGAAAGAGCAGGATTTCCAGGACCCCTTCCCAAGGTTTGCTTACCACTACAACTTTCTTCTTGATTTTTGGAACACACTGGGCTGTCTCATACAGTTTCTGATCAGAGTCAATCCACACTAGATTTTTTATGCCATCGCCAGAGACAAGGTCTGTTGTATTTAACTGGAACACCATGAACTGGAAGAGCTGGCCATCTGTGCCGATGCTTTGCACCACTATTGGCTGCTCCAAAACCTTGGGATCATTCTAGGAAAAGAAGAGGGGGTGGGGGAGAACGTTTTAAAAGCTGGTTACCACAGAAATTGTATGAGTACTTGCTGATTCTGCATCTTAGAGTTGGTTTAAAGCCAAGATTTTAATAAATGTATTGTTACCTTGCCCAGAAAATTACTCTAGTCAAACAAGTTTTGAATGTAGATTTTGTATTTTAATTAAAATTCCTCCTTCAGCCAGCAATGAAGTGTCAATTTAAATACTGAGCTGTGGGATGGGTCAGAGCTGAACTTACTCCCTGGTTCCTGCCCATTACCACACCAGTGCATGTTACATCACGAACACACTTGTTGCTGAGCGCTGGATTTCTGGATCAGGAGACATCAGTAACCTGAAGGCTGGGGTTAGACCTTTGGATGGGGAAGTCTGGATGTGAAAAGTACTGTAACATGCCACGGCAAGGGAACTTCAGGACTCTCTCCACTTGCTGCAGCACAAGAGGGAGAACAAAGGCCCAGCAGCAGCCTGCCATACGTACCCCATACAGCACCTTGGCCTTGGCCAGCGCGTTGCCAAAAGCAAACATCAGCATTTTAGCACGGAGCTGTTCTGGTCTGAACCTGTCAGGGCAAATGTTGGCTGACTCCAGGAAGAACAGAGTGTGAGGATGAGAGTAGGGATAACCATCTCTGAAACCTGAACAGCAGATAGTCATGTCAGAAATCGCTCAGTAAGACACTACACAGCCAATGTTCTCTCCCTTTATCTTCAGGAAGTGTTAAAGCAATTTGCTGGGGTTTAAGTTCTTCCCCACTGTCCTGCTTAGGCCACAGATCTGGAGCGCTTGCATTGCACTCCTGTACCCAGCTCCTCTGTCCCCTCATTCCCACACATTCCCCCTCTCAGTTGCCTCACAGACAGACAAGGGCTCCAGGTTAACCCAAACACTGAAAATATTATTATCAACAGCAGGATTTACCTGTGTCATTGAGCTCTTTGTACACATTCACCTCCTGAAGATCAATTGTAGGCAAGATGGGATGGAAGGTCTCCAGAACATGTTCTTTGGTGGCCAGTATCTCCTCCTTGGAGGCTACTGGTGGTATTGGGGCCATAGAGTTCAAGAGTATTCCATTAAGGCCACGGACCTGAAGAAGAACGGATTCTGGGGAGGGAAATTAGACTACATTCAAACACTGGTGAAATCAGGTTAGGGAAAGACATACATTTCCCTTTCTAAGTCTGTTCTGCAAGGCTCACTCTCTCCCCCTCACCTACAAATCCATCTTAAATAGTAGCCCAGCCGCAGGTTGTTCTTCTAATATACCAATGTTAATTGCTGGTGTTCTTAACTAAACATACTTAGAAAAACAACAGTACTGTTTTGAGACACAAAAATATAAACAATCAGGTCCAAGATGCTGGTTCTCTTCTCCCACCATATTGTCAATATTGACTAACACATAATAATGTTCTCAGGGAGAATATCCTGCCATCATCCAAGGATGCCCATGCTGACAGCACTTTTCAAAACAGCAATAATTACCTGCAGGGTTCCAGAAATTGTTTAACTTTCTCCAAGTCCTCATTCCTAAAGCCAGCAGCATTGTTATCCCTCTTATCCTAAAGAGCTAAATGCTTCCACCGTGGCAGCAACTAACCTCTTTCCCATGTTGCTGCTATCCTGTAGTTTCTAGCCAACATTCTTTTACTCAGAGCAGGATACTTCCTAGACATTAACCGGCATAAATGCATCAAGTCTTCAAACAGCACTGGGCTTTAAAAGGAGAAAAAAAAATGTTATATAAAAATGGGATCATAAGGGCAGGCAAGTGTTTCTGGGGCACAAATGATGTAAAATTACTGTATGTATAACGTATCACAGCATAACGTTTCCAAACAGTTAACAGAGACTGCAGATTAATATCACACACACCAATCCTGTTCCAAGTTGGCAGGGGTAATGCTTACAATTATTATTTTAAAAATTGATATTCTGCACCAGCTAGAAGTAGATCTCAAGTTGAAATAGACACCTTGGCTTGAAAGAAGCTTTAATGTAGTATAGTGTTTATGTCAGTGCTACTATCAATATTCAAAATTGCACTTCATTGGTTGTTTTGGTTGTTCCTTTGTTTTACAAGATGACAACTTCACACAGCAAGTGAGTCTCTCAACAGTACGTCTGCGTTCAAATTTTCCTTGTAGTGTTAAAAACTTTCCCTACAGCTGCAGACTCACCAGAAATGTTCCCTCTTGGGAGCAACCTCTGTGGTGTCCCAAAACCGTGCGTGCGAGATGGCGTCCTTCACCCGCTCCTCATGCTCCTCCAGCCCATGGGCCGGGTTGTCCAGGATGCTCTGCACGGACGGAGGTAAACCTTCCACCAGCTTCGTCTTGGTGAGCCACTGCGCCTGCCGCACCCCTGCAAACACAACCCAGCACGGTATGTCACAGGTGACAGAGACGACCCTCAAGGTCCCCTTCCAACCCAAACCATTCTGTGAATTCTGCACTATGTCACCGAGGCTGCCAGGCAGCTCATGAGGCTGGGCAGGCTCTTCACAGCCCATGTTCTGTTTACACTCTGTGTAAGGAGAAGCCTTCGCAGGCAGAGCAGGGTGAGTGTCTGTGGAGGGGGCAGTGCTGGGTGTGTGGTACCTTCCAGCATTCGGGTACGCTGGTGGCAGATGAAGCACCCGCGCTCCTTGTACAGCGGCATCTCCTCGTAGCGCGGCCCCGGCGAGTGCCAGGGGTCGTGCCAGCCGCGGTCCCAGGGCGGGAAGCGCGGCCAGGCCAGGCCAGGCAAGTAGTGCTGCCGTCCCGCGCATGTGATGGTGTCCAGCTCCACCTGCTCCCGAACCGGCCGCCGCTCCACCACCCGCGCCAGCACCTCCGGCGGCGGCCCGCGCGTGGTCCAGGGCGTGCGCGGCAGCGGCCCGCGGTGGCGGGGCCGCCTCGCGCGGGTGACGATGCCGCGGGTGAGGCCCCGCGCAGCCGCCCCCGCCCGCCTCAGCGCCACCGGTCCCGCCGCCATCGCCGCTGCCATCCTCCTCCTCCTCCTCCTCCCTCGGCCGCCTCAGAGCCCGCCCGCCGCCATCTTGGGGAGGGCCCGTCCCTCATGGCCCCCCCCGGTGACTGACGGCGGCGGCGGCCAATGGCGGGCGGGCGCGCCCCACCGTGAGGGAAAGTCGGCAAATAAAGTGCCTGGCGGGGGGAGGGCGGTGCCGTGGGGGTAAGTGGGGAGGCGGGCGGGGAGAGGCGGCTCCTCGCCTGCAGGGCGGGGGGGCGTTTGAGAAACCAGCCCTAGGCGGCCGGCGTTGGGACGCGCACAGGAGTGCCGGGGCCGCTGTGCCCCCGGGGCGGTGTGTCCGAGCCCCTGGGTGCGCTCGGAAAGTGCTCGAAACTCTGTAAATCTGCCTAGCCCGGAGCCCTGCGGGTTCCGGGTTCGCCCACAGCCGGATCGGGGTTACCCCTCGTTCATAGTCCATGTGTGCTCGGGGTCCCCAGCGGGCCCTGTGGGCAGCCGGACCAGTCGCCTTTGGTTCTCTCTTCCTCCTCCATATCCTTAAAATAAGTGTATTTGTGTTGCGGCGATGAAGGTTAGTTAATTAATTGACCTTGACGGTGACGCTGCTCGAAGCGCTAAATGTTCTCTTGCCTCGGCTTGGTCACCCGTGGCTTCATAATTTCCTGTGTACCCCATTGCGTTCAAGGAATACGGACACAAACGCATTGGGAGCAGCGTTAACCAACCAGTGTGTAAAAATAGCAGGGTCCTTGCGAGGTCTGCAGTGCGATTTTGGCTGGAGTGTTTGATGGGTACAGCTCGCTCGGAAGGACCGGGAGCAAGGGATAAAATCTCCCCTGCTGTGCTTCCTGCCCTTCCCTACGTGTCTACATTTAAAGGCGGACTAAACGCCCATAACCAAAGAGTTTGTTTGCCTGAGACTTTGCCCCGACTGCCTCAAGTCTCTTGGCTGTAAACTCGACTCTCAGCTCATTGCCCTTCCCCCTCTTCCAAAGCTGCACAACTCAGGCTGCATCTAGTGGTTGGGTTCGTTACCCATTGTCTTGGTGGTTGGGTTTGTCACCCGTTCTCATGGACTGAGCTGCAGATTTTTAAGATGTTTCTGCTCCGGGTGACCAAGCTGCTCTTTTGTAGGAAATCACCACGGCAGAGCAAGCAGGATTAAAGAGTGTGGCTTTGGCTGAGCAGCCAGGCTGGGGAGGAGGGCCTGAGCCTGGACTAAGGGTCTGTGCAGCTCTGGGTTGCTGGCTGTGGTGTCTGGCATTCCTGCACTGGACAGTGCCGAGGCAATGAGCACTCAAACAAAAGTGGGGTGTTTCAAGCACAGATCAGCTCCAGGTTTTCAGTTTTCCCTGAAATACACGTGGACAATACTCGAGGGATTTTGTCGGTCCTTCTGGCTGGCTGATCAACACTTGCCGCCCTTCATTGTGCTGGTTTTGGTGCAGGGCTTGTGTTTTGCAGGCAATGAGTGGCAATGAGGAGGACTGGCTGGCTCTCAGACCCCAGGAACCTTCTCCATCCCAGTGCTGCGGCGGCGGCTGCAAACCCTGCATCTACGACCTGTACGAGAAGGAGCTTGCACAATGGGAGAGGGCCAAAGCAAAGCAAGACAGAAGCCTTCTCACAGAAAAGAGGGAGCAGGTCGATTTACCTCCATCGCATCCTGGAGCCTGTGCTTTGATCATGCTTGTTAGGGTCTGGGCTTGTGGTGATGGGCGAGGGATGCAGCAATAGGTTCAAGTGGTGCCTTAAGAGATGGCTGTAAATGCAATTCCCCAAACTCAGCTTCACCCTCCCTCTTGGCTGCTCTCTCCCTGCTGTAATGTGATTTTCCAAGTGTCGAGTTCTCCCTGGTGTCGCATTACAGCCCTGAATCTGCAGCTTCTCCGCTCAGAGTTTCCTCGGAGAAGCTCTGTTTTCCTCACCTTTTTCATCGTTTCCTGATTTTTTTGGCTCATATTTTGAGGCTGAAAAAAACTGTGTTGTGTGTGGTGGAGCAGTTGTCTTCAGAGTGTAATTTGAAGCTTGTCAGTGCCCTTTTACATAAGATTAACTATGCTGGGTCAAGCAAAAAAGATCAGCTGAAACAACTGACAATATTTCCTGTTTGCTGTGGCCATCAGTAGGTTGCAAAGTTGCCCCCAAAGCAGTGCTTGGCGCTTTTAGCAGAATTATTTCTGTTTGTTTTTAGACATGGGAAAATGATTGCAGTGAGTCATAATAGGATGACCTTGCTGGTAAGGTGTAAAAAAAATGTAATTTAAAAAGAAGGTGGTGGTGGTGGTGGGGAAATGCAAGATCCCGAAGTGCACACTGCAGAACACGATAATGAATCAGCGGAGAGCTGGAATTTGCGCTGGGCCTCAGCGTTTAATACACGTCCTGAGTATCTTGGGCGCTAAATTAGCACGCACGTTTGCTTCCAGAGAAGAATGAAATCATAAAAGACACCATCTAACCAAGTAATTATTTATTGTTGTTCTTGCAGAGCAGTAATTCAGTGCTGAATCCAGATACATTCACTGCATTCAGCGTGAGCTCGGTGGAGCAGCTGACAGAGGACACCTACCAGTACAAATTTGAATTACCGGGAAACAGCAGCTTGCAATTGAGTTTAGGACAACATATCGTGTTAAGGTATTGTTCTGTGTGCTAGTTAAACAGCCTGCATTATGTAACCTAATATGTAGGGGTTTGTCAATAGACAAAGGCTTCATAGCAGGCAAATCATGATTTCTGTACCTCCACAACGACACAGATGAAAAGAGCTCGTGAGCTTGCTGGCTCCACTAATTCCATGGTAAAAGCCATTCCAAAGCTGTAGTTTTCTTCAGCATTATGCTTGCATCGGTGGGTCAGAAAGAACTAGGTGTGATTAAGAAAATCCATTTGCAGAAAAAAAAGACTCAGAGAATAGATGTTACAACAGATGATTTACTCCAGCGTGTTGGAATGAAGACAATGAGCTGCACTTTCCCAAGAGCTCTGTACCTTGGGATAACTCAGCACCCAGGGTGTAACCCCATTGCCCAGGCATTGCCTGACTGACTTCTAGCAAAACAACCCTCCTGTGTAGTTTTTTGCTTGCCGGAAAGGGGCCACTTGGGGAAAGTTTCTGTTTCTCAGCCATCTGTGGTGATCATTGCCAGATAGGAAAAGTCCTGTTATGATGCCATTGATCTGCCTCTGTTGACGTTACTAGTAGGTTAAGAGCTGATGTGTGCAGCTGGTTTCTGCTGCCAGCATGTGCTCCTCCTTCCAGCCCTGTCTCATCAGGCAGCAGAGAAAAAGGTTCGGTCACTTCAATCAATTCTCATGGTCAGTAGTAAAGAGCAGGGTGGATATATTATATAGGATTTACAGGAAAATACGGTCTATATTGGCAAGACCTCAGGTCAAGGCTGTGCCCTGGTTTTTGTTATTTAATTATCAGATGCTGACTGGACACAGAAAGCGACCCCAGCTCAAAAGGAACAGCAGACTTAACCACAGAAGTGTTTTCTCTCCCCTTTGTTACTCTTGGACATTCAGCCATTTCTCACAACGTGGCTCAAACACCCTTCCAGGGATATGTCCCAGAGCTGTATGTGGTACAGTTGGGGTCACCCCTGGGAAAACAAAAGGTGCCTTTAAGCCATTTTGTTCCCCTTGGATTTTTACCTGTGGAACAGAAGTGTTTTGCACCTGTGCACAGGCTGGGCCACTGGGAAGAGGACCTGCTGCCTGCCCTGTCTCCCCAGAGAGCTGCAGGAGTTTGCTAATCCCCAGTGGCCCAAGTCACAGTGGGTTCCTCTTTCTCTTCTCAGGGGAATAGTGAATGGTTTGGAGGTCCAGCGAGCCTATACTCCGATCAGCCCTGGGAATGCAGAAGGTTACTTTGAAGTTCTAATTAAAGTAAGTAAACCTGGACAATATGGAGTAGAGTTTAAGCTGCTGGGGACTGTTTTTTCTCTAGGAACCAAGCATGCTGGCAGCACTTGGAGTGAGACTTTCTCAAATCCCTCATGGACTGTTTCTGTGTTGTTTTGAAGCGGTTGTGCTTTGCTGATAAAAATTGCAGTTTTTCCCACAAAACTGAAAGCAGAGAAAGGTGACACACAAGCCAAGGGCTTTGCAGCAGAAACCCTGTTAAGCACCTGGGAGAACCTCCTGGGTGCCCTGAAGTCAACAAGGTGGAAAAGAGGTACCAATTCCTCTTCCTTCATTTCATTTTGCCTTTTCAGTCTGTCTTTGAAATCATACCCAGTTGTCAGCCCAGTTGAACCAGTGATTTTGGGAAGTGTTTGCCCGGCCCTTATCCTTCCCACTGTATCTGACTCCAAGAACACCTCACAGAAAAAAAAGTCAGTTTGTTTAAAAATGTAGACAGACAGTGGAACAGGGAGCAGCTGTTCCTGGTGTGTGGGCAGGGCTCTGGAGAGCTGTTCCTGGTGTGTGAGAGGGTCTCCATGGGAAGAAAGGTGTCCCATGGACACAGCCTGCATCCGTCAGGGTGGATGGGATGGCAAAGCCCTGACTGGGGCAAGTGTTCCGGCCCTTCTGGAGGTTACCACAAAATGTTACTTGAGTTCAAAATTATTTTACAGGAGGTTTGAATAAAGCCTGAAGGGCCCTCATAAATTATTACTTTGTGTGGCAAATATCGATTGGAAGAACATTTTTCCAATACTGCATTTGTGTGTCACTAGTGATTCCTCAGGGCAGACAGAGACTTCAGTACAGATGTGAAATTCAGAGGGCTGGGTATCCCTCCCAGGTGGCTTGCAGAGGATGACCACTTGTCCTCTGCCTGTCTTCCAGGATTTCACGTTTTTGGGGTTTATTATGCACTGTACGTTCAAATACAAACCCTGTTCTTTAGAGAAGTGAACAGCTGCTGTAGGACACCTGTGGGAGGGTCATTTCCTCATTCTTGTGGCAATTGGTGAGTGGTAGGGGAGAGAAGTGTTACATTTGAGTTGCATTAATAGGATACATTCACAGGATGACTGAAATTTCATGTATAGCGGCTCATTACTCACAGGTTTTGCATTTCAATAATAATAGTAATGATTGTAATGGTACCTTTCCTTTATATAGAACCTTTCATCCCAAAAGGAGCTATAGTTATTCTCTGGCAGTGACAAAAGAGGTTGGTAACACCCAGTGTAAAGCAGCCATTTTTATAACTCACTCTGTAGGTTGTGGTATATTTCACACTATTCAGGCAATTTTGGAAAGTACTATATTATTATTATTATTACTAAGCAATCCAAGCACTGTTCAAACACTTCTCTCTCCTGTTATTATAGCATTGCATTTGTGATACTACAGTTAAGAGTGAGGGAGTTGCCATTTACAGAGCATAACCCTCTTTTTGAGTGATTTTATAATGTTAGGGTTTCTCTTCATGTAAAACTGGGTGTAGAAGTTTTCCCCCAGGAGATACTTTTTTTTTTTCTTTTTATTTAGAAAAATTGGGTTTTAAACCCACTCAATCACTTCTCACTTCAATTTTTTTGGAAATAATTTTGGTGAAAGGAGGATTGTTTTAGTTTCCATTACTATGGTCCTTTGGGAATAGGCAGTAAGTGGGGCTGACTTTTCTGCCCTTGCCTTGAGTTTCCATATGTATATGGAGAAGGGAGGTATAAAACATAGTCCTTTGATGCAATTGCACACTCCTTGTGTGAGACTTAGCACCCGCTCGAGCCCTCTGAACATAAAAAGTTTCTGACAGTAACTCGGAGCCTGGATGTGTGTTTAATTTACCTTTTGACTGTAGCAACTGCTGCTAATAGTTCTTCAGGTTTAAGTGAGGTGTTAGGAGGGGAGGAGCGTCTGTGTTCTTTATTAGCTAACACTGCTTGCAAGCACAAGCACATGCTCACTCTGTCTGAGCTGCTTTGTGGTTCACCAGTTTCGTTTGCCTGCAGTGCAGCTTGGTGGCCAGCCAAGGCACTGGGGTGTGGAGCTGGGCTTCCCTCCAGTTTGTGTGCAGAAAATACCCCAAAATACTCTGTTTTTGTGTGGGCTGGAGTTGTCAGAGGCTTATATCACATCCCATCCTCTGACCTCTGGTTGTGTTGCTCTTCCCCAGGCTTATCTGGGGCATCACCTCTGCACCAGACCACTTGTGAGCCGCAGCCGTTGGGCTTTCCTGCTCTTGCTGTTTGGACCAGTCCTTGTTTTCCAGCCACATCCCGATCCGTGGCTGCTCTTTGGCTCACATTTGTTCTGTTTAATCATAAAGTGGTCATACATATGGGGCATGGATGTACATATGGCAGATAGCAATAAGAATCCTTGGATGAGCCCTTCATTTTGCAGCCTCTCCTCCCTTCTCTGTTTCTAGCAAGCACCGACCCTTTCTCATCAGTCGGGAATGAGATCAGCATTCCTGCAGGCAACAGCCTGGATAATATTGTTTGTGCCTGGTAGAAAGTAAGGCAGGTTTTTTTGCTAATGTTTTTCTTCCATGAGGCCAACATTAACATATTCTTTTGAAAACGTGGAGGCATCCCTTAGCATCCAGATGATCTGTTCTGAAAACGAGAGTTTTACAAATGAGAAACCTGGCTTTGGGTCACTAATTGTATCAGCACAGCATCTGAGAGACTGAAATAAAGCAAGAGCTATGCAGTGTTTATATAACTAACGGTGCCCAGAGGGCATTTCCAGACCCCAAACCCTGAGATTTGGAGAATGCTTGAAGGCCTGGACTGTGCTTTGCATTCAAGACACTCTTCTCTGTGTGCTTTGTAAGCAAGAACTCTGATAAGCTTTTTCCAGTTTTGGAAATTCAGACTGCATGAGAGGGTCTTGTGTTTACATTATAGTCAAGCTGGAGTGGATCCAATATGATTTAATTTAAATGTCTTTGTTTTGGGTATAACTCTGAGTTATTTTTTAAACAGAAAAATCTTTCTTTTTAAACACACGAAATGTTTTTTTGTCCCCTTTTTGTTTAAATGTAGATAACTTTATAATTGACTTTAAGCTGGGAAACTTTCCAACTGAGTATAATTATTCTTTTCTTTTGTGCAATGTTTTTTATTAGTGCTATGAAGCTGGGCTGATGTCACAATACATAAAAACATGGAAAAAAGGAGACGTGGTCTTTTGGCGTGGGCCATTCGGAGGGTTCCCATACCGACCTAATAAGGTTAGTTCCTTAAGAGACATAGGATGCTTCACCTTGTGGCAGCCAGCTTTGTTCAATACTCTAAAGGGAAGACATCAATTTGATTGCTGTTTTCATTATTATTTTAGGGACTTCCTGGGTTACTGTACAGTGCTACGGCGTTAGCAGTCAGCTGGAGCATGTGCACCTTATTGAACTGCAGAATATTTAAGGAGGAAGAGGAGAGGGAGGTAGATGGGAGACTGGAAAATAATAGCAAGGCTCTGTGTTCATCGTTTGCATCAGAAGTTCCTGATGTGCTTTACAAAGGGAACTTACGTTCCACCAGCAATGAACATGGATCTGTTTTTGCCTGGTTTGACCCACATCGCTCTTTTGTCACTGAGCAGGAGCGAAGGGAGGGTGTTAATCTTCTTCTCTCTTGGGTGAGCAAAGGGGAGGTGTTAATCTTCTTCTCTCTCGGGTGTTCCCTGAACTGCAGCAGCTCCAGTGAGGTGTCAGGTCACTCAGCCATTCCACAAACGCTGATCCCACCTGCCGATACCAGGCTGGCTGCAAAGAAAGGCAGATCCAGTTTCAGGGGGAGGCTTCTCACACATACTAATGTGATTACTTAATTCTGACCTTTCAAATGAGGAGCAAAACTGAAACACTGGTCATTAAGATCCCCAAGCCTTGTGGGTTTTTTGGCTTCCTTCCCCCCTCCCCCCCAAAAGTAAGTCTGTAAAATCTGAGTAGCTGAGCTCTATGCATATCAATTGTGTCCTGCTTCCTGAAAAACTCTCCTTGCTAGTTTCGGTTACTGTTTCCTTCTCTTTTTAAAAGCTTCCAGATAATCATTTGGAACAGAACATAGCAGTCTTGCCTAGGAGTGGTCTTCTGTGCAGGACCAGGAGTCGGACTTTGAGGATCCTTGTGGGTCTTTTCCAACTCAGAATATTCTGTGATGCTGTGGTGTGTGATCTGTGTACATGCAGTTTGCAAAGCACCTGAGCAATCTTTAAAACAACTTGCTGTGAAAAACTGTTTATTATTTAGGAATTATAACATAGGTTGAATATTAGTTTTATAGTAAAATTTTTGTTTATCTCTACTTGCTACCAGTAGAACAGGACTCTGATCCAGGCAGATCAGGTCCATTCACAATAAAATGCCAAGACAAAACAGAACACAAGCAGCCTCTGAGGGGCTTAAGTCCTAGTTCTAGCAGTGGTGCACAGTGGCTGGCAGCTCAGAAAAGTGCTGGGAACCTTCTGTTCTCTTATACACAACACCTTACTGCCTGAACATCCCATCTATTCCAAGTAGAGTGAATGTCCTCCCTTGAAGGTGGGAAGCTCTGTGTGCTACTCTGAAAAAAATAATTGAGATAATGCACCAGGAGGACACATAGATCAGGATGGAGAAGAACCCATTTCCTCCAGGGGTCCTTCAGGATTGTACTTTGCAGCATCCAAGACAAACAAGGGAGCATTTCCAGCAGGAGAAAACACACAGCGGGTCAGCATAGTGTACTGCAGAATTGAAACTGAAACATAAATTATTTGAAATCAAGGCTAGAGTTAGGATAAATTATTATATTTGGGTAAAATCCAGCTTCACTAAATTTGAAATATAAACTCTGGAAGTGCTGTTTGTAATCCTTTGCAGAAAAATACGTTCTGAGATTTGAATTTACCAGTGCATGACCTTCTGATATGTTGTCTCTCAAGGGACCCTTTACCAGTGTGGCAGCTAGGAGGAACTGACCATAAGCACATCGATTTCCAGCCACCACAGCTCATTCCAAATTCTCTGTTCTGTTGTTAGCATGGAGAACTCCTCATGCTGGCTTCTGGCACCGGCCTTGCACCAATGCTTCCCATCCTCCAGTCCATAACAGATGATGAAGAGGATGAAACCTTTGTAACTCTTGTTGGCTGCTTCCCTACCTTTGACAAAATTTATCTGAAACCTCTTCTGCAGGATCTGGCTCGATACTGGAACATCAGAATATTTTATGTCCTAAGCCAGGTAAATAAATGGGCACGTGAGGTTCATGTGAGGGTTCTGTGTGCTGGGTGAGCCTCTGCCTCCTCCACTGTTCCCTTAGCGTGACCTTAATTCCTTCTAAGTCATCCAGGCTATTTTGTGATCCAGTGGCTGCTGTGGTTAAACCTGCTATGTGTATTTACAGTACTACTAGTCTGGAGAATTTCAGGAAGGTGGCCATCACTGCTTGTCCCTCTTTGCCTCCTTGGGAGCTATTCGGTTGTTTTGCTTTTTTACAGCCACTGTTCATTATTCCCCCCACTTCAAACAGTTGTTGCTGCACCTAAACAGCAAATAAACTATTTTTTTCTTTCCTAATACCAGTGCCTTCATCTGTCCTTATCCTCCATCGTTGCTTATGGCTAGAGCTCTCTTTTTCTGGTATGCTACCACCAACTTCCCAGCAATTATTTTTCCTCACTGACCCATTTTTAAACTTCTAAAAGTTGTTTACCTCTCTGTAAAATTACTTTTCTGCCACATTCATGGGATGAGGGCATACCTCTCAGTGGTCTTACATTTTGAGCAGTGTTTTCATTTCCATTTGGTCCCAAAGTTGCCTCTGTTCTGCATGGATTTGGTGGTTAAAAATTATTTCCGTCAGAAATGAGGATTCATTGCAGGGAGGATACAGAAAGAATTATTTATGCTGAGGGAATGAATCCCAGTGCATTTTTAGTTTCTCGGATGAATCATTTTTTGTTTCTCTCACTGGCTCTTACATTCTGTTCCACATGTGGCCTCGGCAAGTTGAGATGTGGTAGAGGGAAAAGTACTGGTGACTTGGGCACCCCCTCAGTTCCTCTGGAGGAGCATAACCATAATTGTCTCTGGTGACATGGCTTAATACCCTTTTCAGGGTATTTAAACTCTTGAGTGCTGTCTCAAGAGCATGAGGAGGTCTTGAAATTCAATCAGCAAAGGGCAAGAAACCCACCTGACCCCTGTCAACACTGTCTGCCCTGTGTGTGCATCTCTCCCTTTCTCCTCCTCTCTTAGCAGTCTTATGGTAGTCCAGGGCTGGCTCGTGCATCCTCCCTCCTGGGATTATATAACTGTGTCTGTATTTCACTCTGCTGCCTGTCACCACCACATCTGATCACCTCCTGATTAATAGCAATGGGGGAGTCCCCACTGGCTCTAATGCCACAGGATCTAAACACTTCTCATGGGATCAGAGCTGTGTTTGGAGCAGAGCTAGATTCTTTCAGTTTTGGTCAAGGGAGATGGGACTCAAAGAGACTTGGGAATGGGAGAGGCAACAGAGAGGAATAGACTTGGGATCTAGGATTTGGGAATAAGGAAAGTGCACTGGGAGGTGGTTCTCGAGGAAGAGGGTTCTGCAGCATTTATTATTGATAGTTATACTCTGGTTTTGTTTAGTGTCCCCTGAGAAAGTGGCCAGGTCCCATGACAGGGAGAGGTTTCATCTGGGCTGTGGAAAATGCGTGCAGCTCTCAGGAAGGGTCAGTGCTACCCAGATGGTGTCACAAGGGTGAAAACATCCTATGCAGTATTCTGAGGAGAGGAGGGAGATTTGGCTGTAAGCAATCAGTTGTCCTTTTTAACATGACGCACTGCAAACCTTTTGCCTTTTCAGGAAACTTCATTGGAAAAACTTCCTTGGAGCTATCAAGAAAACACTTATACTGGTCGTCTCAATGAAGACTTGATGAAGACAATAATAAATTCCTGTCGAAGAAGGCCATTTGTATTAATCTGTGGATCTTCTGCATTCAATGAAGATATGACTAGATACTTGAAAGCTGCAGGAATTGAAGAAAATTCCTGTTTTATCTTTTAGCTGGATATTCCTGACCTCAGGAACCTTGGGCCGAATGTTGGATGTCGTTGTTTCTCTGCAGACATTGCACAAAATGGGTCAGCTCTGTAGACTGACTTCCTTGGACATCCACCTTCATAGGCCTTTGGATTGACTATTTGTCTCCAGTATGAGTCTCATTATTGAGTGTTTTAAGGAATGGGTGCCATTCCAGAGTGGCTGCTACAAGGTGTGCCACCCACACCTCAGGGTACAGTGTGGTAATTTTAATGGAAGTCTTCAAGTGCAATTTTAAGAGAGAGATCTCCTAAGGGAGGGGGTACTAAAAATCACCTATGTACAGCTCTGCTCTAAAATGAGGACCAGTGACTTGCATTGCAGTCCATGTTACTCTGCAGTGGTATTGTCCCCTCTTAGGTGTCCAGAGGAGAGATGTCATCCTCAGGGAGAAGACTGCCTGGCCAAGGGCAGAGTACTAGCCTGGCAGTGTGGAGTCTGTGGGCTTCATTTTGGTTCTGTCATGTGCTGGGTGATGTCAGGCAAGTCACTCCAACCTCTCTGTGCCTCAGTTGCCCCATTATACACCAATACAGAGAAGGTGGCACTGCTTTTCTCTCAAAAGCCTTTCCAACCATATATGGGAAAACTGTCCACAGGGATGGATAGTGATGCCCAGTGAGGACTTAGCAGGCTAAGCTCCTGCTCTGGCATAGCCTGCATTACCTGCCCTGTCCTTAACCCTTGAAATGCTGACTGGGAAGACAAAGAGTGTCCTAAAACTGAGAACACAGCTAGGTTGTGGCTGCTATCTGTCAGGGAGGATGGTTGTTTGCTTTCCGTGTCCCCTAAGTGTTGTGCCATAGCCCTGGCTCATTAAATTGAACCTCTCTTCAAATAAACAGCTGTTTGTTTTTGTCACAGGACTCTCACAGGTGCCCAAGGGGGTTCCCTAAGCACACAGGAGCACCACTTGAGGAGTGAAGGCTACAGGGGTTCTGCTGGGGTGCTCCTCTGGGGTTAGAGAGCAGAGCCAAGGACCTGTCTAAAGGAAGGCAGCCTGGCACGGCCCCCAGCCTGGGCACCTGGTCCCCATCCTCCTCTTTTAGTCCAAAATGCTTCTGCTTTTCCTCCAAGGTATGTGCTCTCCACTCTTTTACCTTCTTAGATCACTGTGTTTACTCTCAACACCTGGAAATACAACCTTTCTGCACACCTTTGTGTTTTTCTGTTCATTCCCAGTCCATCCTGTATTGTGGTTGTGCCAGGTGATGTTGCATTATCATTCATGCCTCATTTTGTACCTGTGTCTAATACTACACCTTACACAAAGGAGCTGTAGTTTGTTACACAAAATAAGCAGTGTGCACTGAAGTGGTGGCTCTGATTCACACACTGGGAGGGAATATAAGTTCCTCTTGCATTGCTGAGATTTGTCTCCAGTTACAAAATGCCTGGAATTAATGGAGTGTAGCTGCAGCCCTTCCTTGGAGGAAGGGCTGAGACGGGGAAGTTGTCCATGGTCAGTCCAAGACAAGCTCTAAGCTCCAAGCTGTGCTTCAGCCACTGCAAGTTACTGCATAGCGGAGATGCTTCTGCACAGCATGGGGCTGATAAAATAAGGAGATGCTTTCTCCAGTCGATTTCCCTACTTTGGGCTTGGCTAGGAAAATGGAAAAAATATTTTTGTCGGATATTAAGCACTCAAAAACCTTGCTTATATACCTCTTGCTTAAAATGTTTTATCTTTTTTAGGTTTTGCTAACAACCCACCCCAGCCTTTTTGCAAAGGCCCGAGGTAAAACTTGACGCTCGCTTTGGAAAAGCGGCGGCTTTCTGCGAGAAAGCTGGGAGTGTTCCTTTAAACACAACCCCAATATGTCTGGGTATTTCAGCACATATGGGCCACGATGGTTAAACCCTCCCCAGCTGGTCCGGCCGTTCTGCCGCGCCGCTCCCGTCTTTGTTCGTGGCTCCAAGGGAGGGTGGTGAGAGACGGAGCAAGCTGTGAGTGCTGCGGGATGCGATCCTGCAACGGCGGCTGCGGCCGAGCGGGAGGAGGTGCTGCCTGTGCCGGAGGGGACAGGGGTCTTTGCGAGACATTCTCCATGGGGGACATGATGTCCTTGGAAGTAGGGACTTGAAGGAGCCTTTAAACTGCCCCTAGGCACTTTGTTCTCTATTCTCTGCCCTTCTCTCCCTTCCCCCTCTTGCCTTTTGTTGTTTCTCAGGCTGGCCCTCACGGGAGTCCCTCCGTTCCAGCCATCCCCCATGGGGAAAGCCGTTTTCAGACCTTGGTGTGGAACCCTGCAAAGGCAGAGACACAGAGTAGAAAGGCTCTCGGGCAGGATTTTCCCTGCCAAGGGAAGCTGACAGGTTTCCTTTCTTCTGGAGGCCTGGAACCACCCCGTGATGGCAGTTTGATAGGGAAAGCGCTGATCTGTGGCTGGGGGATCTGTGGAGCATGAGGTGCGAGAGCTCCCTGCAGTGGTGGGTGGCCAGTGCCTGGACAGGGCAGGGGCTCACATCCTGCCTCTCCTGCCAGGCAGGGGGATGCCGGTGGGATACCCCTGGTCTCTGACTGCCCTCCGGGAAGCCCCTGCTGCCCATGCAGTGCTGTGCTGGGAAGAGGGGCTTCACTTTGCTTCCTTTCTTCTTCCTCATGTGCAGCCTAAATACCCTCTTAATTTCATCTCATTATTTCCTGCCTAAATAATTCCCGTTTCTCCTGGGGACTGTTTTTAAACCTTTGATCTTCTCTGAAGTCTTACAGTCCTGATCACGTCCTTTCTGCTTAAATGAATCAAATGCCTTTTTGACTCATGATTTATAAATTTGCCCACAGAGGAACAAAGGCAGCCCCAATATGGCACACCTTGAAATCACCCACCGTGCCTGGTTGGAGCAAAATACCCTGGTCTGATCCAGAGCACCTCCAGCCAGACCTCCATGCCTGGCTCCTCTGTCTGCTTCCCTGCTGCCTCTCACTCTCCCCCTGCCTCCTGCTCCTGCCTGGCTCTGCAGCTGACAAGCAGGTTGCCTGGGCTGAGGCCCAGCCTGGGAATGGCCATCTCCAGGTCAGGAGAAGGGTGAATGTGCCTATGGTTGATGGATGCCGTCTCCTGGGAGGGGGGCACAGCTGCTGTGCTGCACAGCCCTGACCCCCTCATTGTCACCGATTTTCAGTGACACCATCTCCTGGGGTTATGGCCAGCTGGAGGGATGGAGAGGAGTAGCTCTGTAGGTACCGGTTCCCTGGATGCTGGCTCTGTCTTGGGATGTGCCTCAGTGCTCAGGCTAGTGGTGGAAAGGCTGGAGGGCAGTGGCTGTTGCTGGAGATGGATGCAGTCAGGATGAACATGTTGCTCTGTAGTGCAGCGATGGAGAAGACAGGGAGCACATCGTCCCCGAGCCCAGACGATCATGTCTGGGAGGGCTGAGCACTCCTCCTGACTGAGCCAGGGTTGTGGCAATGGAAACATCCAGGAGGGGCCGTGGTGCCAGATCTCTCCTGCCTCTTTGCTGCATGGCTCCACACGTGTTTCACAAGGCACAGGGACAGACCTCTTCTCCAAGCCATTAGGAAAGCAGCTAATTAAGCTCTGCAGTGTCCGTGGGAGGTCAGCAGGATACACGACAGCATCGCAGCATCTCCCAGAGCCTGCACTGGAGCAGAAGCTTCACACAGTACCTGGGAACAGCGAGGGCTGCCCTGCACCTCCTTGTTCCAATGTGCCCTTAGTCCTGGTAGGGTGAAGTAGTGCCCAGACACCCCAGGACAGAACCCAGAGTTCTCCACCTCAGCTGGGCTTAGGACAGAGGGCTCCTGGCTGGGATGCCCCAATGCTCGCAGCGGCCCTTGGCATGGCTCCAGTGAGACCGGGCAGTGTAGAGAGAGCCTGTACAAATATTACTGTTGTTATTATTCCCCATAAATATATGCAGGCACTTAATGACCTTGGCATGGAGCATTTCCTGGGGATTCATGACCAGTTGGTGTTAATGGTCCTTAGCTGCACCTCAGGCCATCAGCTCCTCCCAGCCCATCATTAATCCACAGGAAATGTCTCAGGCATCGATCCTCGTTGCTTAATTAATAAATGCAACTTGTCTCCCGCCCGAGATTTAGAGATACTCGCTGCTTCTTTGCCTGCTCCTTTGAAGGTGACTTTTTTAGCACAGGTCCCTCATGCTGGGAGGTCCTTGTGGGATTTTGTTTCCTGGCATTCATCTGGGTGTGGGCTGTGGCAGCAGGAAAGTCTTTTCTCTCTGGGGCGTGAGGGAAGTAACTGAGCCGCTGCTGGGTTTGGGGTTCTCCAGCTAATGTGATGCAGCACAAGGAGCACATCTTTCCCACCAAACCCAAAGCCCTGATTACCTTCAGCCAAGTGCACCCAAAACCCTGGGTGAGAAGGAGTGTGAGCCGGCATGGAAGAACGTGGCAATTCTCCAAGGCCTTAGCAGGTTCTATAATAATCGATGTTTTTTTGCCCATGAGTCACAATTCATCTCTAATCTTCCTCGGGGGAGGTGGGATTTGCTATCTTTAGTGCTCATGACTGCCGCTTTCCTGGGCTGAGCATCCCGCTGAGCCTGGACTCCTGCTGCAGGGATGCTGACCTGGCAGCCGGCACAGAGACGCGGCCGCGTTTAAATCCCATTCCCTGTTTCTCTAGCCTTTACCACCAGCTGGCTTTGTGCAGTGGGTGCCGCAGTATAAATCATGTTAATTCCTGAGGTGCTTTTCCGCGGTAAGTCTGAAATTCCCATTTTGGTTCACTGGCTTGCCTGGCGAACTAAATTATTTTCATGGCCCCTTAAGGGCGTATTGTCAGCCCAGACTTATTGCCGTTATACACCATATCTGAAACATTAATATCTCTTCTAAATATAGTGTATTGACAAGGTATCTGGTATAGTGTAAATCCTTGGGACATTTGATCCAGATCATTAAAACTGAGTGAAGGAAGGGAGGAATAGATCAAGTTACCTTGCTGCTCTTAATTCAAACAAGCTATGAATTATTCATTCTGCTATTAATTCTACAGGCCTCCTGCTTTTTATTTATTTCTCTCTTTATTTATTTTTTTCCTTCCAAATAGACAGCTCCAAAAGGATGCTCGGGTGCCGGTGAGGGGAGATTTTCCTGCTGGAGGATGGGGAGCACGGGGGTGGGATACCTGGCAGCACTGGCTGTGCTTTGCGGGGCTCTCGGGGATGCTCCCAGCAGAGGTAAGAACCTGGTCCCAGCTCTCAGTGGGAACCTCGGGGCCAGACGGGCATCCATGGTCCCTGAGGAGGAGAGGGCTGTTTGTGGGTGCCACAGCAGCTCTGGGGTGCGAGCGGGTTCCAACTCTCTCTCAGGGAGAGTGCTGGCTCAGCTCCTTGGCCAGGGCCGGGAGCTGGGATCTGGAGTCACTGTGTGCAGCAGCAAGTGCGGGACACTGCTCTATGCCTGGTGTTCTGCGTCACTCTTATCTTACTGAGGATTGCAGGTAGGAATTGTCCTGTTGTGATGTGCAGGTGTTTTGGTGAAGGGTTTGTTAACTTCTGGAGTTCACTTGCCTATATAAATATATATGTTTATATACACACACGTATACATTTACATTTAAATGTATATATGTGTGTGTATGTGACAGGCATGTAATAAACCTCTCACTTGACCTGTATAAAATGCCCCTCAGATTGCAGGACAGGGTTAGCAGTTGACACAGTAATTTGGGGGGTGGGGTGGGCAGAGCAATCCCTCTCCCCAAAAACAGCAGGGCCTTTCTCATAGAAGGACTGCATCAGAAACCAAACCCCATCCCTGACTCTGGTGCACGTGCTCCTGAGTGGCCACCTCACCTCCCACCTGGGCTTCCCAGAGCACCTCAAAGGCTTCCAACCCTTAATCCAT